AAGACTCTTCTCCAAGACTCTTCTCCAAGACTCTTCTCCAAGACTCTTCTCCAAGACTCTTCTCCAAGACTCTTCTCCAAGACTCTTCTCCAAGACTCTTCTCCAAGACTCTTCTCCAAGACTCTTCTCCAAGACTCTTCTCCAAGACTCTTCTCCAAGACTCTTCTCCAAGACTCTTCTCCAAGACTCTTCTCCAAGACTCTTCTCCAAGACTTTTCTCCAAGACTCTTCTCCATGACTCTTCTCCAAGACCCTTCTCCAAGACTCTTCTCCAAGACTCTTCTCCAGGACTCTGCTCCAAGACTCTTCTCCAAGACTCTTCTCCAAGACTCTTCTCCAAGACTCTTCTCCAAGACTCTTCTCCAAGACTCTTCTCCAAGACTCTTCTCCAAGACTCTTCTCCAAGACTCTTCTCCTAGACTCTTCTCCAAGACTCTTCTCCTAGACTCTTTTGCGCAGCTCGTCTCCCCCTCCCGCCACCCTCCCGCCACCCTCCCCGCCCCCTCCCTTCCGCCGCCCTGCCCGCCCTACCCCAGGCCGCTTCTTCTTCGGGGCCCTCTCCGACGCGATTGGCTTCAAGGCCCCCCAAACCGCGACGCTCTCGCGCCGCGCCCCCTCCTCCTCGCGTGAGCGCGATTCTCTTCTCGCCAGGCCTCTTTCGTCCCGCTCACGCTGCTGCAGGGCACCACGCTCCTCTCCTTCCCCGCCCTCGCCGCCTCGCGCCTCACCTTCCTCCTCGCCACCGTCGCCATGCTCTTCTGCATGGGCGGCACCTTCGCCCTCTTTCCGGCGCAGGCCATGCGCGTGTACGGTGCGAGCGGCGCCTCCGTCTACTCGATCATGTTCACCGCCTTTGGCAGCGCCGCCCTGCTCGGGCCAATCGCGTCCAACGCGCTGCTGCAGCGTGGTGAGAAGCCCGCCCCCTCGCCCCCGCCCCTCGCCCCCGCTCATCGCCCCCGCCCTCGTTCCCGCTCATCGCCCCCGCCGCCTCGCCCTTGTCCACCCACCCGCTCCGGCAGCCGCCACACGCCCTCCTGCCTCGGGCAGGCGGCTACCCTCTCGTCTTCTCCGTCCTCGGCCTCTGCTCTTTTGGCTCCGCCGCTCTCACCCTCGCGTCGCAGTAGCTGGGCGCAGTCTGGACGCGGCGTGTACGCCGCGTCGGACGCTGTCAGAGGGAGGCTGCGGCTCGAAATTGCTCACCGTCGGTCCCGCGGGCGGCAGGCGGAGTCGATATGAGGCGGGGCTGTGTGCGTGCGAAGGGGGCAGCGCGGAGGGGGGGAGAGAGCGCAGGTCGCGACGACCGAGCGGTTCGCGAGAGCCGCCGAGACCGAGGTCCGAGCCTCTCTGTGGAAAAGTTGAACACTCGCGAGAACCGCGTTGTGATTTTTCGGTAAGCTCTCGACAGCGACGACTCACAAGTATAACGATACCACACCCCGCCGCCGCCGACACAAGGCATGCGCGAAGGAAAGAGACAGCGCTGCGGAGAGGTGGTCTCCGCGCGCCCGCCCGCGAGCGGCGTCTCTAGTAGTAGGTGTTGGGGCGCGCAGCCTTGAAGGTGGTCTTGTACGCCTTGGCCGTGGTCGGAACGCGGTGCGGCAGCGGGAACTTGAGCGTCTTAGAGTGCATCTGCTTGATGACCGGCCTGTGTGTGGAGGGTGGGAGGGGCTGAGCGGGGGCGATGGAGTCGGTAGTGGGAGGCGGCGGCGCGACGGCGCGGCGGCGAGAGGGGCGTCGGTGCAGGCGGAGACGGCGATGGCAATGGGGGTGGCAGGGTGGTGGCGGAAGCTAGGGGGGAAGATGGGAGGAGGGGAGGGCGCACCGCTTGCACTCGGACGGCTTGAGCTCGGCCGTCTTCAGAATCTGGATCGCCGACGACTTGGCGCGCGAGCGGCCCGCCATGTCCTGGTAGAGCTGGTTGACGGCGTCTGTCAGCTTGAGGGCGCGGAACTCCTTGTACGCGTTGTGCGTGCCGGTGCGCGACTCGTAGCGGAACCAGAACCCGAAGTTCTTCACTCGCAGCGGCTTCTTCTCGTGAATCTGCAGAGGGGGAGACGAGGCGGGAAGAGCTCGGAGGGGAGGGTTGCAGAGGCGGTTCAGCTCCACCGCCCCGACGCAACCAATCGCGAGTGGTCCGCGGCTCGGCCGCCCCTGTCACGCCGCACCCCTTCCTCGCGACTACGCTCTTCCCCACAGTCCCCTGTCCGCTCCGCCCTTCTGCCGGCCGCCTCGCGGCCTCCCTCCTCCGCTTCTCTGCCTGCCCTGCCCCCTCCGTGCCCCTCGGTGTCAGCGCGACCGCAGAGACGCGAGCGGCGGAGCAGCAGGCGGCTGCCCGAGGCAGCAGCAGCAGCGGCGGCACAGGGCGCGGCGCCCAGCCTGTCCCTCTGCCCCCGGCCCGCCCCCTCCTCTGAGCCAGCGCCGCCCGAGTCTTGCCTGCGGCCGCCCCCTCTCGCTCTCGCGTCCTACTGCGAGCGGCGGGCGTGGCGCGCGCCTGGTTCACCGAGATGATCTGACCGTTGGCCTTCTTCACGCGGCACAACCGCCCCATGAAGTACCAAAACCGAGAGCGCGCGCAGACGAGGTTCTTCGCAAACAGCTTCATGCGGTACACCTTGCACATGGGCGCAGCCTCGCCGTACTTGGCGTTGGGAACGAAACGCCCAACCACCATGTACTGCTGCTGCCCCGTCGGCAGCGCCGGCAGCGAAGCCTTACCGCTCCCCCTGCAGCAGCGGGCCGTCCAGCGCTCAGGCGCTGCGAGAGCACGCGCCCGAGCAGCCCGCGGGCGCGTGGCGCAGGCGCGCGTGTGGTGTGGGCACGCGGCGACAGGGTGGGGCGCAAGGGCGTGCGTGTGTGTGTGTGCGTGGGGAAACAGCGGCGGCGAGGGCAGCTGGCAGCCCGCGCACATGCCAGGCTCGTGTGCACTGCAAAAAGAATTCTTGACCGTCGTTTCTCCGTATTTCGCACACTGGCACGACAAGGGCGCGGACTGGCGCGGACTGGCACACTCACCGGCTCACCGCCGGAGCCGCCTACGACTCCGTTTAAGAACGGCAATGCACTCCGCACCACCGTGCACAATGCCGCTCTCCCCGCACGCTAGCTCGTTCACCGTCTGCCACGCCACGGCGGTGTGGAGGACCACAGACAAGCGCTGCATCTGCAGCCCGTGCCAGTTCTTGGTGGTCCATGTGACCTCGTCCAGGTGCTGAGCGTGCGAAAGTTTGTTGCTCAGCTGGTTCGCCGCCTCCCTCAGGGTGCTGCGGACCTCCTTTCCAAAGCCTCCGAAAGCCTCAAAATCAAACAAACGTAGATCGCAATCCTGCTCCCCAGTGCAAAAGAATTCCTTTTAGCCAACAAGAAAACAGACCACAAAGAAAACAGACGAGGCAAGGGAATAAATAAATAAATACAACGGACACGCCAAACGAGGGGTGGGAGAAGGACAGGGTCCCCACCTGCACAAGCAGGATCTTGTAGGACGATCAGGGACACAGGGGAACGGGAGCGGGGAGCGCATCGCGACACGGAGGGGGGCTGGGCAGGGGGTTCACCCTCACGACAGGAATCCCATCTCTCGTATAGGACAGGTTGCACCCGGCGGCACGGGGGCAAGCGCGGGCCTCCTACTGGTTGCGCTCTCCTAGTTTACGAGGCAAGGGAAAGAAAGAAAGAAAGAAAACACACAACCCAAGGGAGGGATGGGAGAACGGCACGCCGCCACCACACAGGGATTTTAAGAGGCAAGGGAGGGATGGGAGGACAGTGGCAGTACCATTTTTTTTGTAACCCATGTCGATGTGCGGAGCAGCAGTCCGCATGGTCGTCGTCCTGGACCCGCTGTACGTCACCCTTTTCGTGGACGACGGCGACCCTCTCGCGACGCTCCACGTGCAGGACGCGGCCTACTTCAAGTTTGGCACCACTGAGGTGATCGAGGCTCCGGCGACGCACGTGCACTTGCGCCACAAGAAGTACAACACCCTGAACGGCGCGTGCGTCGGGGTCCTCGACGACATAATGCCGAGCTGGCGGACGGCGCGCGGGCGCGGCGACCCGCACGTCGCGTGGATGTACGTGGTCGGCGAGCTGCCGCACAGCGAGCTCTCCTCGCAAGGCGCGCGCACCGGCCTTCTCGACGGCCACCATTCGTTCGTCTCGCCCCTCGCGGCGACGCGCCGGATCAGCGTGCGGCGGTCGCCGGACGGCACTGGCCGCTGGGTCCCGGCGCACGTGCTGCGCCCCTTCATCCCGGCAGGCGTGCCCGATAATGTTGCTGTGCAGTGCGTGCGCGAGCTGATTGCCAAGGGCGGCCACCATTCGGGCGCGCACCGCAAGGAAAAGAAGCGGGCGCGCGAGGAGAGGAGGCGCGACGAGGAGGGGGCGGCGCCGCCGCCGCCGCAGCAGGGCGGGGCGCGAAGGCCCGCCAGCGCGGCCACGCAGCTGCCCGACGGGTGGGTCTCGGGCGTCGACCCCGCCACGGGCCACCTCTACTACCACCACACCCCCAGCGGGCGGTCGCAGTGGGAGTGGCCGGAGGGAGCAGGAGGCGGTGAACCGTCCGCCAGCACGTCGAGCGGCGGCGGTCCCTCCCCCACGGCAGCCAAGCGCCCCACCAAGATCCACACTAGGGACGGCATGATGTACTTTGTTGACCGGCTCGGGCCGCTGCCGCACGAGATTGTGCGGACAGAGATGCGCGGGCCGCCCGGCAACGCGTACAAGGTCTTGTGCATGAGGCCGGTCGCACCGACGGACGAGACTTGCGAGGCAAGCTTCACATCGTAGCGAGCCCGTGCACGCGCGGGCTCCGTTTTCTTTTTTCGAAAAGAAAAGCAACGCTTTCTTTTTCGCGGGTTGTTCCCTCGTGGGTGTAAGGGAATATATGTGTGTATGTGGACACGCATTCGGCATTGTCGCGTGGGTGGGATAGGAGAGGCCGCCGCGAGCGCGACAGAGTGTGGTCGTGGAACCACGCCGTTGCAGACGAGCAAGCTGCAAGGCTCTTGGAAAAGCGCGACGATCTCCAGCGGACGAAGGCTCGATCGAGGGGCCCACAAGCAAGGGAGAACGGGAGTGGGGAGCGCATGAGACAGCACACGGAGAGAGGGGCTGGGCAGGATTCCGACGCCACAGACTTCACAGGCTCAGGGTCCCCCAGGGTGCGGGGTCCAGGGAGTCCTCTCTTTGCCCGCGTTGGACAGGTTATGGGGGGGTGGCGGGGTCGCGATTTCTTTTTCCATTCCACGCGCCTCGCTACGGAAAATGCGGAATGGGACACGCATTGTCGCGTGGGACTAGAAGAAGCCGACCGAGAGAGTGGACCACCGTTGCAGAGAGCAAGGATCTTGGAAAAGCGCGACGAGCAGCGGGGAGGGCCTCGACAGAGAGATTTTTAGCAATACCAAACAACTCTAACACTCACACGTCATTTGCTGGGCCTCTCGATCGAGGGGCGAGAGCACGCGCCCGAGCATGGGCGCTGCGAGAGCACGCGCCCGAGCAGCCCGCGCGCGCGGGGGGCGCGTGTGGCGCAGGCGCGCGTGTGGTGTGGGCACGCGGCGACAGGGTGGGGCGCAAGGGCGTGCGTGTGTGTGTGTGCGTGGGGAAACAGCGGCGGCGAGGGCAGCTGGCAAGCAAGCTTCACATCGTAGCGAGCCCGTGCACGCGCGAGCTCCGTTTTCTTTTTTCGAAAAGAAAAGCAACGCTTTCTTTTTCGCGGGTGTGGCTGTTCCCTCGTGGGTGTAAGGGAATATATGTGTGTATGTGGACACGCATTCGGCATTGTCGCGTGGGTGGGATAGGAGAGGCCGCCGCGAGCGCGACAGAGGGGCGCTCACTGTGTGTTATTCGGGTGGGGATCCACTGCGCTCGAAAGTCGCGATTTGGCAATAGGCGCTCGAGCCGGCGCGCAGTGGAGGGGGCGCCGCGCAGGGGGATCGGGGGGGTGCGAGAGGGGGCGTGGGTCGGGCGCGCACCGGCCGGCTCCGGGAGCGGCCGTCACGTCGAAGAGCAAGAGGGGACCTGGTGCTGCTCGAATGACGACGCATGCCGCTCTGCTGCGCCGCCGATAGCCCCTCTTCCGAGCCGGCGCGTGGCGGCGAGCCGCGGCCAGTATCGCTGGTGCGGTGGAGGCGGCAGCTTGCATCGGCCGGCAGCGGGTGCGGCCTTCACGTCGATGAGGGGGGGTTGTCGGCGACTCGTGTGGCTCGAGGCCTACGCTGCGCCGCCCAAGCCCTACTGCCGATCCAGCGCCTGGCGTTTGGGGCGAGCCGCGGTCGTCGTCGCTGATGGTATATGGCGGCGGCGGCGGCGGCTCGCCCTTCCCTCCGGCCGCAATTCCGATCCCGCCGCGCTCGCGGGAGGTGGCGCGTACACCTTACGCCCTTTCTCCTCAACGGCTATCCGTGCTTGCTGTGCCCCTGCGTGGTGTGTTTCAAGTTCTTACAACCCAAGGTGATAGAGGGCAAAAAGATCGATTGCGCTCTTGCCGATCCGCACCTACCTAGGCTCTTGGGTGGCGCGCCCCAGCTCTTCACAACGAACCTGGTCTTGAGTCTCCCGGCCCATGAGCGGCGCCATTCTCCCAACCCGCCTCGCCGACCTGGCTCGGGGCGACCTGGACTCGCTGCGCGCCTTCCTCTCCGGGCAGGAGACACGCGGCACGTCGCTCATTGCCCAGCTCGACGCGCGGCTCGACACCGAGCAGCAGGACACGCTGCTGACCTGGGCCGCTCGTCACGGGCAGGCCGAGGCGGCGCGGCTGCTGCTCGACAGCGGCGCGAGCGTCGGGGCGACGACTGGCGGCGGCGCTTCCGCGCTGTATATCGCGTGCCAGGAGGGCCAGATTGATTGCGCCCGGCTGCTCGTCGAGGCTGGCGCGGCGACCGACCAAGCTGCTGACGACGGCACCACGCCGCTGCTCATCGCGAGCGAGAAGGGGCAGCTCGAGATCGCGCGGCTGCTCGTCGAGGCCAACGCGGCGGTCGACCAGGCTGATGATGAAGGCACCACGCCGCTGAGTGCTGCAAGCTTGACTGGCGAGATCGACTGCGTCCGGCTGCTCCTGGAGGCTGGCGCGGCGGTCAACCAAGCGGATTCTGGAGGCCGCACGCCGCTGTACGTTGCGTGCCAGGAGGGCCACCTCGAGTGCGCCATGCTGCTGCGCGGCGCTGGCGCGGTGATCAACCAGGCAGATGAGGACGGCTCCACGCCGCTGATCATCGCGTGCCAGAACGGCCACCTCGAGTGCGCCCAGCTGCTGCGCGGCGCTGGCGCTGACATCAACCACGACGGTACCACGCCGCTGTCCCTCGCGTGCGAGAACGGCCACCTCGAGATCGCCCAGCTGCTGCGCGACGCTGGCGCGGCGGTCAACCAAGCCTACAACGACGGCGCCACACCGCTGTTCATGGCGTGCCACGAGGGCCAGCTCGAGTGCGTTCGGCTGCTTCTCGAGGCTGGCGCGGCGATCAACCAAGCTACAGAGGATGGCGCCACGCCGCTGTTCGCGGCGTGCGAGGACGGCCACCTCGAGGTCGCCCGGCTGCTGCGCGGCGCTGGCGCTGACATCAACCAAGCGATGAACAATGGTACCACGCCGCTGTCCATCGCGTGCCAGAACGGCCACCTCGAGTGCGCCCGGCTGCTGCGCGACGCTGGCGCTGACATCAACCAAGCCAGTACCGACGGTACCACGCCGCTGCACATCGCGTGCCTGAAGGGCCACCTCGAGTGCGTGCGGCTGCTCCTCGAGGCTGGCGCGGCGGTCAACCAAGCAGACGCTGAAGGCTTCACGCTGCTGTACGTTGCGTCCCAGAACGGTCACCTCGAGTGCGTTCGACTGCTCCTCGAGACTGGCGCGGCGGTCAACCAAGCAGACGCTGAAGGCTTCACGCCGCTGCACATCGCGTGCCTGAAGGGCCACCTCGAGGTCGCCCGGCTGCTGCGCGGCGCTGGCGCTGACATCAACCAAGCGATGAACGACGGCGTCACGCCGCTGTTCATTGCGTGCGAAAAGGGCCAGCTCGAGTGCGTTCGGTTGCTCGTCGAGGCTGGTGCGGCGGTCAACCAAGCCTGCAACCACGGCACCACGCCGCTGTTCATGGCGAGCCAGGAGGGCCACCTCGAGTGCGTTCGGCTGCTTCTCGAGGCGGGCGTCGCGATGGACCAGGCCAATGAGGACGGCGGCACGCCGCTGTTCATGGCGTGCCAGGACGGCCACCTCGACGTCGCCAAGCTCCTCTCCTCCTACGGCGCCTCCCGCGCCGCTACGCCCTTTGGCACGCCCGAGGAGATCGCAAACGGCGAAGGCCACGCCGACCTCGCCGCCTGGCTGGTCGCCAGCCGCGGCTGGACGCCGCTCCAGCATCTCGAGGCGTGCCCGAGACTAGCGGCCGAAGGCGTGAGCGCATTGTCCTCACGCCCATTGTCTCTCTTCCCGCAGGCGCTCACCGTCGAGCGGGCGCGGGCGCTGCTGCGCGGCGGCGCAGACCCGCTCGCCGGCGAGCCTTCTGCCCTCGAGCGGGCGCGCGTCCTCTGCGCGTGGGGCGAGTCGGATCCGACCGCTGCGGCGGTCGGTTCCACAGTCAAGATCCGCTCTCTCGTCTCGCGGCCCTCGATGAACGGCAAGGTCGGCGTCGTCGTCTCCGCAAACGCTTCGACGGCCCGCTTCGGCGTGCGCGTGGCGGGGGAGGCCAAGGCACTCGCACTGAGGCGCGCAATGCAATGGTATCTCCCCGACTCGCCGGATCCTCTCTTTGACACACCTCTGCCCTCCCTCAGGCCGGCCAACCTGCAGCCAGCGGCCGAGGCGGTGGCGGTGGGCAGGCTGGTCCTCAAGGCGGCGGAGTGGTCGCCGCAGTCGCACGAGCTCTTCCCGGAGGCGGCGCGCAAGCGGGCGGTCGAGGTGATGCGGCTGGGCTACCTGATCGCCTGGGACGAGGAGCGCTTCGACAGCCGCGAGGGAGCGGCTCCAGAGCTGGCGGACATCTGGCGCGGCTTCGTGCTGCCTAGGGTGGTGGTGCGATGATTTGGCCCCACGTTCTTCGTATCTCGCTCCTCTTCTCTCTCGCTTGGTGGTGTTGCACATTTTTCGGGGCTTTTTCCCAACGAGCTACGTAAACGAGACAATAGACACCGAAGAAAAAGAAAAACACGACTCCGCACTTGGAGCACTTGGAGTGCAGTTATTCCGACCGCTCGCCCAGGACCGGGGAGGTAAGAAGCGCACCCAGTTGGCCGGACGATTGGGAGCACTTGGAGCACTTGGAGTGCAGTTATCAACCTCACATCCAGGGCCGGGGAGCTAAGAAGCGCACCCAGCGAGCCGGATGATCGGTGTCGGGTTACGGGCTAGAGAGCACTACGGGGTGTGGAGGGTGAGTTGAACAGGGGTTGTGCGCCAAGCCCTCCTGCTCGGCTCCAGCGAGTAGACAAGTGTTACCATCAACAGAGGAGAAGGATATGACCTCAGGGCCGATGTGACCAAGCGCTGGTAGCGTGGTTTTACCTCACACCCATGGTCTCACAGTGTGCCGGCAGTCGCCGAGCAGTGTCGCTCACACAAGCCGCAGCACAAGTGACTGAGGGCCAGTGAGGGCGAGCCCATCGCTGTCACAGCTGTGGCAGCCGCACAGTAGGCTGTGTCAACTGTGCAGAGTGTGTGAGCAGCAGAGGAGCTGCTCTCCAGGCTTCTGTCGCAAAGAGCTGCATGCCACCGAAAGCGCTGTCGAGGTTCGCCGAGCGCGGCGCAGGTTGGGGGAAGCCGCCACCGACGAGCGCGTTGGACTTTTCACTCCGGACAAAAAACGCGGCACAGCGGACGGTGCGGGGCGTGCCGCAAACATAGCGGCGAGGCGCGGGACCGTCTGTGGCGAAGTGGGTCGCCTCATGTGCGCCCGCCCGACTCCGGTCCCAGAGTCCCCTCCTTCGTCTGTCCTGGTACCGCAGCCTCCGAGAGCGCCGACGGCCCGGCCGGGGTCGCCCCAGCGCCCAGCGTGTGCGCGGGCGCCGCGCCCGCGTACTCGCTTGGCGCCGTCTCGTCCTCGTGGTTCGCGTCGTCTGGCGCAAGACCCAGCTTTCTGTGGACAACAACGCCACCGCGAGGGCCGCCCGCGCGTGAGCGGCTCCGTCGTCGAAGTCGAGGCCAAAGCGAACCAGCGCGGCACTTCGGATGGGTCTCGGGAATCGGAAGGGGTCCGCCGAGGAAGTTGTAGCATACTCCCTCCCCCCGGAGAGCCACTCCGCCGCCACCATGGCATCCGTGCGCCTTCCGTGTTCAAACCATACGATGTCCACGTACCCCGTCCGCTGGTCCGGCCCCGGTCTCACCCTCGGGAGGAAAACCCTCACCACGTCGTGGTGCGTTTGGTTCGCGAAAAAGTGCCGATCTCGTCGAATCACCCTGGCCCCTGCCGCAGACTCGGCGTATGACTCAAGCGCCCCTATGTCGATGGGGCACCGAACCCTCCGGGCATAGTTGGCGTCTCCGGCCTCCGTCCCGTAGGGGCCGTCCCCGTCCTCGTCGGAGGAATACTCCCTCCCGTGTGCCGGTCGTCCCGTCGGCGGTGGGTATGCGGGCGCCAGGGCGACGGGGTCGGGCGGCCCCTCGGGGGCGGCAGCGCCCGGCGTGCGCGCGGGCGCCGCGCCCGCGTGCTCTCGCTTGGCGCCGTCTCGTCCTCGTGGTTCACGCCGTCTGGCGCAAGACCCGCGCGTGCGCGCTGATCGATCTCGGATTTTCCATCAACGGCGCCAGCGTCATCAACTGCGACAGCAAGTCCGCCGTCGGCATGGCCTTCGATCCCGTCGCCTTCAAGAAGACCAAGCACATCTTGCGCGCCGCCGAGTTTCTTCGCGATCTCGTCAGCCGTGGCGTTATCTCCGTCGAACACCTCGCCGGCGTCGTGATGCTCGCCGACCTGCTCACGAAGGCTGCCTCGCGGGCTATCTTCACTGGCCTGATCAAGCAGCTTGACGACTTTCATGCCCTCTGAATTTGTTTGTCCCTCGCGCCCCGCACTCGGGCCAGAAGGGGCTGTTCCCGGGCATTCACACTTAATTCCTGAGATAATTGGGCGGTTATATCCATAAGGGATTTCATCCCTTTTTTGGTTTGGAGATTCGTGTTTCCGTTTCGGTTTTGGGTAAAACGTATACAGCACTCTTCGACGCGATGCGGCCCCTGCCTTTGCTCCTGATCCTATGCGGGAGCTATGCGGGACCGCTATCGAGTACAACACTCGTCTACTCGCTGGAGCCGAGCAGGAGGGCCTGGCGCCTTACCCCTGTGCAACTGAGGGTCCTTCCCCTTTAGGGGGGCCGCCGCACTGGTCCAGAGGTGTGGTGTGGCGTGGTGTCTCGTGTGGGCACGCGGCGACAGGGTGGGGCGCAAGGGCGTGCGTGTGTGTGTGCGTGGGGAAACAGCGGCGGCGAGCTTAGGGGACCCCTAGGCTTAAAAGGGTGGGCCCTGGGGCGCCTGCGGCTTAAACGGCTTAAAACCTGCCTAGGCAGGTTTTAAGAGCTGCTGGGCCGCCGAATCCTTAAACGGTCTTAAACGCTTAAAAGGTGCGGGAGAGCTCCCGAGGTCGATCGATGGTCCGGGACACCGGGAGGCTCCCGGTAGACGCCGGAGGCCGGGAAGCTGGCTACAGTCAGCTAGCACGCGCCCCCTACGCGAGTATGGCTCCTGCCAGTGCACCAGACTTACAGATGTGTCTTCAGAGGCGGGTTTGTGCCTAATAACAGCAGTATTGGAGAAAACGGCGCGGAACCCAGCGACGCATGCCGGCGAGGCCGATTTTCTTAAACGGTCTTAAAAGAGGGACCCCCCGTGCCTGCAATCTCTTAAATGGCAATTTAAGCCCCCAAACCTCCTCATTTCTTAAAAGCTCTTAAAAAAGTCCGGCCCTCAAAACCCTAGGGGTCCCCTAAGGCGGCGAGGGCAGCAGGCAAGCAAGCTTCACATAGTAGCGAGGCGCGTGGGATGGAAAAAGAAATCGCCGCCCGCCACCCCCCCAAAGACCTGTCCAACGCGGCAAAGAGAGGACTCCCTGGACCCCGCACCCTGGGGGGCCCTGAGCCTATGAAGTGTGGCTGTGGCGTCGGAATCCTGCTCAGCCCCTCTCTCCGTGTGCTGTCTCATGCGCTCCCCACTCCCGTTCTCCCTTGCTTGTGGGCCCCTCGATCGAGCCTTCGTCCGCTGGAGATCGTCGCGCTTTTCCAAGATCCTTGCTCGTCTGTAACGGTGGTTCCACGACCACACTCTGTCGCGCTCGCGGCCTCTCCTATCCCACCCACGCGACAAAATCAATGCCGAATGCGTGTCCTACATACAACACGACACATACGGCTTTATCTTCCCACTTACACCCCTTCCGGTTTGCGTTTTAGTTTCATCTCATTCGTGCATCATATGGCTCGGGGCGGTGGGTGATGGGTGTTGTCTCCACCCGCCGCGTGTTTGCGTTCCTGTGAGAGACTTTTTTATCAATATCATTTATGTCTGAGCTCACTATCACCTCACACACAGGTGTCGCCGAGTGAAGCCGAGTTCACGACTATCTGAAGAGAGGCTGTAGCAGATAACACCACAACAACTCTTAAGCGCCGGCGGGGCCTGCGCCCGGGCGCAACCCGGCCGTCGCTACTACGACCACGTACGACCAGGAGCTCCATGCCACATGCTTCAGATCCACCTGGGCCCAGTGCTCTGGCATACCCGCCCCCCCTTGCAAGCGGCGCGGAGGACGACCACGTCGTCAGTCGCCACCCGCAAACGAGCGCGCTCACCGCGCGTAAACTTGAGGCAGCCACAGCTCGCGCTCCATCCCAAAGAAGGCGGCCCTCCCGCCAGCCGCCCACCGCGACCCGGCCGAGAGCGCCACCGCGGCGGCTGTGGCGACGATGCCGGAGGCCAGCCGACCAGCTACGGCCAGTGCCGCCGCCGCCACAGCCGCAAAGAGCGCCATCTTACCCAGCGCGGCCTGCGTGCCTTCGAGCAGCGCCAGCGCGCGCTTGCAAGAGGGGCAGTGCTTGCCGTGCACGTTCCAACGGCTCACTTCCTCCTGTGTCGTGGGCAGCGAAGCCGCGGCCCCGCTGCTGGCAAAGGGACCGCCGCCGCCAACTTCGGCCAGCCACTTGCGGAAGGTCGAGACGCCCGTATCCGACGGCGTCGCGACGTCCCATGCTGCCTGCCGCCGGTCCGGATCGGCCGCCTGGTTGCGGTCCTGCCCTTGCATCACCAGTCGGTCCTGGTCGTTGAACCGCCACAGCGCACTGCGCGAGAAGAAGAATGCGTGCAGGAGGTCTGCCAGCAGCTCGCGTTTGGGCAGCCACGCAGGAAGCTGCGGCAGCCCCAGCCCCGTGATCACACGCGTCTCGAAGGGCGTCGAGGGGACGAAGAAGAGCTGGAAGTTCTGCTGCTTGCCCGACGGGAGCTCGTAGTTCACATCCACGAAGCTCGGGGATCGGAAGGTTCGCGTAGCCTTCATGCCGTCATTCTTGGTCGTGTAGCCCCCGTGCGCAACGGTAAACCCCTCGTCTCCCAGCGGCTCGGCGGGGGCCGAGTAGTCGGTGAGCGGCACCATGTCTGACGCCGCGAATGTCCCCTCGTGCAGATGCGGCGCGTGGCTGGGGTCCATCGAGTTCTCCACCATGGACTCGTACGACACCGGAGGCACCGTCATCACCCAGTCCTGCGCGCCGCTCCCCAGCGCCGCCGGCTCCTCGAGCAGGCTGCGGCCGAGCCCCTCCAGCCCAGCCTCTGGCCAGACCCACAGCAGCCCCGAGACCTCCTGCACTGGATAGCTGGTAGCGCACGTCTCTGGTGCCCCGCAAAGCGAGGCTGCGGCGCCAGCGTCGGCATTGGGCACCTCGACGCAGTTACCGGCACCGTCGAAGCGCCAGCCGTGGAAGCGGCACATCAGCGTGCCCTCCTCCGTCACTCTTCCCGTGCTGAGCGGAGCTAGCCGGTGTGGGCACGCATCCTCGACGCATGCCCATCCGTCTGCGCTCTTCCATAGGACGAGGTGCTTGCCGAGGAGCGTGAACCCGTTGGGACGCACGGGGTCGGCATAGCTCACAGGCATGACGGGATACCAGTTGGCCTCCCACGAGAAGGCGGCCGAGCCCGAGGCGGTGCTTGTGGGTTCGCTGACGAGGTCTGCGGGCCCGATTGCCGTGCGGGTCGCCAGCAGCTGTGCCCGAGGGCGCAGCACGGGCCGGATGGCGGCCGGCGTGGTCGTCACTAAGCTAGCCGACGAAGGGAGGGCCAGCAGCATTACGAGGGCCAGCAGCATTACTGCGCTCGGGTAGGTGGCAAGCACCACGGTGTTTTCCGCGGCAACCTTCCAGCAAGTTCGGAAAATTTCGTTTCGCAGGCAGGCAAGGCGCGCACAGGCTCTCGAGCTGACTTCCCGGCGGGTCCTCACAAGGGGCGCATACCCACGCCTCGGTCGAGCGCGAGTAAACAGAAAGAAAGAAAACCCAGTGGCGCCCGCGCGTACTGAGCACTCAGACCGGCTCGCGCACACAAGTACATACATGTCTGCCACCGACGTGGACTTCAGCGCCCTCTTCCTCAAGGCCAGGCGCTCGGGTGCAGTCGGCGCCACCAGCCAGCGGGCTGACGCGGCGGCCAAACGCAGCGGCGGAGGCGGCCAAACGCAGCGGCCAAACGCAGCGGCCAACGCCGGCGGCGCCACCATCGCAGAAGGTTCCGTCTCCAAGAAGCGCAAGAAGCGCAAGAAGGGGCGGCCGGCGCCGGAGAGGCCCGAAGCGGCGGCGGCGGCGGCGGCGGCGGGAAGCAGCCAGCCCGCTCCTTCCAGGCCCGCCGCTGCCGCCAAGCCGACGGGGCGAGGGCGCGGCGGGCTGCAGGCGCAGCTGGCGGGCGCGCGGTTCCGCGACATCAACGAGCAGCTGTACACGCGCGACTCGGCGCACGCGGTGGCCCTCTTCGGCGCCCAGCCCGAGCTCTTCCACGCCTACCACGAGGGCTTCCGGCTGCAGGCCTTGAGACGCGTCCGAGACGCCTCAAACACCCCGCAGACGCCTCAAAACAGCCCCCCCCCTGAGAGGCGCCTCACGCACACCCCGCCCCTGTCTCTCGGTCGGCAGGCTGCGGGCTGGCCGCTGCGCCCCGTCGACGCGATCCTCGGCTGGCTGCGAGGGAAGCCGGCCGCGTGGGTGGTGGCGGACGTGGGGTGCGGCGACGCGGAGATCGCCGCGCGTGCGCCGCAGAAGGTGCTCTCCTTCGACCTGGTCGCCTCCCAGCCGCACGTGACAGCCTGCGACGCGGCGGCGCTGCCCGTGCGCGACTCGTCGGTGCACGCGGCGGTGTACTGCCTTGCGCTGATGGGCTCAAACTACGTCCAGTTCCTGCGCGAGGCGCGCCGGATCCTCAGGCCGCGGGGCCACCTGAGGATAGCGGAGGTCAAGTCTCGCTTCGGGGACACGGAGGAGTGGCTCGCGATGATGCGCGACGCCCTCGGCTTCCAGCTGGTCGACCGCGACGACTCCAACTCGCACTTTGTCCTCTTTGGCTTCCGAAAGGGGGAGATCAAGGGCGAGGGGGCGGCGCCAGCCGCGCCACCCGCCGTGCCGCTCAAGCCGTGCCTCTACAAACGGAGGTAGGCCCGATATTGTCCGTACGTCACATGTCATCTGTGAGAGCAGTGTGCGCTCGAGGCCGGTGATGCACACCGCAAACTCGGCGCCCGGGTGGTGCCTGCGGAGTGACCGTTCGGTCGACCGTCTGGCGCGAGGGCGTGCCTCCGGAGCTCTCTCGTCCGACAGGCAAGCTCTCGTAGTCGCATAGGCGGCTCCGGTGGTGTGCCGATGTGTGTGCTAGTCCACGCTCTTGTGCTTGTTGGTAAAAAGATATTGAAAAGGAATTTTGAGACGCGAGTGCGGAGTGGCGAGAGCGCGGAGTCCGGCGCGGGCGGAGAGGCCCCCACGTGCCACGTGCCACGAATCGTCGCCACGGCGAAAAGAATTCGAAGAAGCAGGATTCGAGCTGTATGGGGGGAAGGGTAGGGGTCGGGTGCCGATCGGGGGGCTACCCCCTACCCCCCTACCCCTTCGACACGTGTCCAGGCCCACAGCGGCGCTACCCCCTACCGCTACCCCCCTACTCACAGGTCTCCAGATTGCTGTAACGGTAGTTTTGTCGGACAGCGTCACACCGTCACCCTCACGCCCTGCCGCCCCTCCGCATGCCCGCGCACCCCCTACCCCCAGGTGCCTCCAGAAGCCGTAAGCGTAACGTCACCTCACGCTGCCCCTCCGCGCGCCCGCCGCCCGCGTCTCAGCTCACGCAGCGGACAGGTCCGCCGTCGGTCGTTGTGGTTGGTATGTGGATTCGGGCAGAACCAGCTCAGAGCCCTAACGCAATTCACAGTTCGGCCCACACCAGCACCGCCTTCTCGTCACCACGCTCAGCAGCTATCGTTCTGCGAGGGCGAGGGAGGAGGCGGCAAGGGAGAGGGAGGAGGCGAGGATGAGGGCGGAGGCGGGAGCAGGCGCACATCAGTCAGGCTCAGGTACTGGGCCCGCGGAGAAAAAAAAAGAAGAATTTCGCGCATGCTGAGTTGCCGGGAACGGCAACTGGGGTCCGTTCTGACTAGTACATGTAACACGTTCTGGCCCTCGCCATTCTGATCATTCCTGGAACACCCTCGGACCGACCCAGGTGGCCGGCCGAGTAAAACCCGGGTATACCCGAGAATTCTCAGGTATACCCGAAAAATACCCGGAGCGGCGCGCGTCGCTATGGCGCCCTATCCCACAGGCACGTGCGCCAACTGCACCAACCACGGTGTGCTCAAGTATGCGCGCCGCACCAGGTGTACCCGCTATATCGAGCGTGACCGCGTCAACTTCGTCGCCAAGTTCGACGTTGACAACGGCGCGGCGACGGACCTCTCGCTCGAGTCGTCGATGTATACGACGGCTCGCCGTCGGCAGAGTACGAGTCGTGGCTGCTGCTCGAGCCTGTTCTGGCGCCGACGGAGGCGGCGGCCCTGCCAGGGCGGCCGGCGGCGCGATCGTCGCGCCGCGTGAAGAGGTCGGACCGGCTGGGGCCGGGCGGTGGGCGGTGGGCTGCCCGGGGGGATGGGCTGTGGCACGGTTCGAGTCGTAGGGCCGGTGCCGCCTGGATGGATGCCGTTCTCTGATCGTTCCTGCGACCTTTGTAGTCTTCCGTCCGAGGTCGGGCTGAGGGAGGACTGATGAGCCGCGTCACTGTCCCGCTGTGCCTGTCTGCTGCTAGTGCCGAGAGAGAGGCTCCGGGTCTCAGCGCCTCCTGCGGGCCCAGTGGCCGGTGTTCTGAACGTTCTGTGAGAACGCATTCCCAGCCTTGCCATTCTGATCATCCCCTTACCTCGGCAACTCAGCGCGCATGACGCCGGCATCGATCCACTCTATGCGACGAGGCCGTCGCTTCTGTAGCACCGCTGCGACGTCGCGCCTGGTGTCGAAGATCGGCCGCCCTACGAGCGCCCTCTCGACCGAGCGCAGCCTCGACTTCCTGCGGGCAAAAGGCCTTGACGCCGAGGATTTGCTTCTCGTTTCGATTCTTGTGAAGACGAACGCAGGGGTCGAGTCGATCGATGTGTCCGGCAACGGCTTCGGCGCCGGCGGTGCGGAGTCACTCGTCGCCATCGTGCGATCTTCGCCACAGCTCTCGAAATTAGACGCGAGTCAAAACAACCTTCGCGCCAGCGCCGCTCTGCTCGCGGAGGCTGCCGCGGCGCATGGTTCGCTGCGCTCGCTGGCGATGTCGGCGAACGCGATCGGTGCGACACTGCACGCACACACACACACATCCGAGCGAGGAGAGGTCCTTAGTTTGACTCCTCCTGTACTCCTGCACCGCTGTCGGAGAGGTGATATCTCGGCCATATCTCGGATGCGTTTGCCTAGGTGCCTCCGCCTGCACCGCCATCGCTGAGGCGCGTCTTCTGGCCCTAGCGCCCTGGTCTAGTCCTACTCGTCACCCCACCACGGACCAACACTATTGACGCAAGGGCGTAGCACAGCTCCTGCTCAGCTCACAGCTCCTGCTACCTGCAGCCCACTGCTGCCTGCAGCCCACTTCTACCTGCAGCCCACGGCTCCTGCTCAGCTCACAGCTCCTGCTCCCCGCTCCAGGCGCTCGCAGCGGCGGCGGGGGTGGGCCTCGCTCCCAGCACCCTCTCTGCGCGAGATCACCCGAGATCACCGAGCTCACTGCGAGATTGCAGGGGAGCGGCCTCGCGGAGCTGAACCTCTCCCACAACGCCTTTGGGCGGGCGGGAGGAGGCCTCGCCGCTGTCCCAGGCCCCTCCCTCCGCCCTTCCCTCCCTCCGCCTCTCCCTCCCTCAAACCTCTTCCCCTTGCGCCGTGGAGCTTCGCTGGTCACGCCTCGGCGCATGCACAAGGCCTCTCCTCCCTCCGCCTCGCCTCGTGCGCTGTCGGAGCCGCCGGTACGACTGAGCTGGCTTCCTCCCGCCGCCCTGTCGAGCAGCCTCTGGCCACGTCCACGACACGTCCACGACACGTCCCCTAGGCGGCAGCCCTGGCTGCGGGCAGCACCTTGCGCCGGTCTCGAGACGCAGCCGAGACGCAGCCGAGATGTAGCGAGCTGCGTGGGGGCAGCGCTTGGCTCACACGAGCGCCGCGCCAGCACACAGCCGGGTGTAACGCTGCGATAGCGGGACGGCGATAGCGCAGCGGCGGTAGCGCGGCGGGCTGCCGGTGACGGGTTGCGGGTGCGGTGACGGGGTAGGCTCGACTTGCACGAGTGCCACTGCGGTGCGGACGGCGCGGCGGCGCTGGCTGAGGCGCTCACCTCTGGTCGCCAGCTCCGCCTTGCCACACTGCCGAGGGCGTGACGCGGCGGCGAACGGCGCGTATTTGGGTGGCTGTAGGAGTGGCTCTCGTCTCGCTCGACTTGTCCGACAACAACATCGGCGCGACGGGAGAGAGATTGCCGAGAGGTAGCCGAGGTGCAGGCGAGGTGCAACCGAGGGGTACCCGCGTCCGTGGAGCCAGTTTGAAAGGGCCAGAGCCCCGACCACTCGATCGGCTCTGCTCGCACTTCGCGCCGTGGCCAGGCGACAAGTCGGGCTTGCCTCCTATCACTTCTTGTTCCTATCGTTATGGGCAGGCGACAAGTCGGGCCTCGGCTCCTCCGGCGTGAGTGCGGACGCGGCGGTCGAGGCGCTGGCTCGCTGCTTGCGGAGCAGCGCCTCTCTGCGAGAGCTCGACTTGCGCCTCAACGGCTCGCGAGTAGTAGTAGTAGTAGTAGTAGTAGTAGTACAGTATCATTGTTATTAGCAGTAGCAAGCGACTCTTCTCAACGGCTCGCGAGGGCGCGCGTGCGCGGGCCGTGGGGAGGAGCCGTTCACGCGTGGCGTGTGGATGCGCAGGCTTCGACGCCGTACACCTCGAGGAGCTCGCCGCCGCGGCGAGAGAAGGGGACGGGAAGCGGAGAGAGCCCATCGAGCTGCGCCTCTGAGAGTGGGCGCTAGAGAGCGCGATTCTCCCCGGTGAGGGAGTTTCCTCTGCTCTGTCGTGCTGCTGTGGCGTGCGCCCGCACGCGTCGTGACGTCGCGCATGATCCGCGACGATTTCCCTGCCCGTTCTTTATTTCCACACATTACATGTGAAGGTTTGCGTGTTGATGTTGATTGTCGCATGTCGGCGAGCGCAGAGAGAGAGAAAAGGAAAGCCTGCGTAAATTGCTTCATCGCGAGCGCGGCTGCACCGCCTAGCCGAGCTACTCCGCCACCAGGACCACCCCACCGACGGCTCTAGCCAGGGGCGCCTCTCCAGCCCAGCCCCAGGCGCCAAGCTAAGCGAACGGCTCGCGCTTGATGAACCTCCGGATGAGGTCGAGCGCATTCTTGGGCTGATCCGTGGGCACGAGGTGGCCGCAGTTGGTCGCGAGGACGTAGGAGAAGCCGGCGACGTCGCCCTTCATGTATCCAGCAACCTCGCCATCCACCTTCCAGACGACGCGAGCGCTCGCGTTGTACGCGGCCTTTCCCTTCCACTCCAGCTGGTCGATGAGACGCTCACTCCCAAGGAAGTTCCACGGAGAGCCGTCGTACTGCCCCGAGTACGTCATAAACTGGTACTTCTCCATGAGGTCGGTGATGATCTTGGTGGGGATGGGCAGCAGCTGGTCGCTCTCGAGGTGATCCGGCACGGGCTTGCCGATGGAGGAGGGGCCCTGCCCGTCCGACTGGCGCCACGGAAAGCCTCCCGCGTTGAGCGCCTTGTGCACGGCGGGGTCGTTGATCCATGCGGCTGTCACGGCGGAGAGGTCGCTGAAGACGTCGGTGGTAGCGCGGATGTCGTAGATGAATGGGACCTGCGCCTTCTCGCTGAGGAGCGTCTCAGACATGTCCTCGCACACCTTGTACGCCTCGGCCCACTCCTCACGGTCGCAATGCTGTTTGCACACCGCTAGGCGCCCGTGCGCCCACGCCTGCGTCTCGGCGTCGATGAGGCCAAAGTGGCGGAGGTAGTCGGGTGTGGATTCGTACGCGACATACGGTACCATGTCGCCGATCCCGTTGCCGATGGCGATGCCGGCCAAGTTTACGAGCTTCGAGCCCGCGGCTTCGTTCTTGGTGTGGATGTAGTGCGCGATGCGAGGAATGTACTTGGACGCGTACGACTCGCCCGCAATGTAGACGGGGGCGTCCTTGAGCCAGTCAAACTTTGCAATCATCGCGACGATGACGGGGTAGAGCTGCTCGGCCATCTCCGTGAGCGAGTTCACGTAGCCGGGCCCGTCCCCCCACTCGCCCGGCTTGCTCTTGGTGTACGAGAAGCCGGCGCCGACGGGCTGGTCGATGGCGGCCTGGAATCACAATCCTTTACGTGTCACTGACGAGACTAGTCGGAGACCACGGACGCTCTTCAATCGCTGCCATGTGCGCCACCTTTGTCCAACCGTGCGGGTTGTAAGATAGCTTGGAGTCGCCGAGCCGGAAGCCAAAGGGGCCATTCTCGAGAAGCAGGCCGGTGAGGGAGGAGGCGCCCGGCCCGCCGTTGAGCCAGATGAGCAGGGGAGTGGGCTCGCTGCTCTTTGCCTCCTCCTCCGCCTCCACGAGCCAGAAGAAGAGGTGCGAGTTCCAGTCTGGCTTGTCGAGCGCCGTCGGGAGGAAGCCGGCGTACTGCTTGAGGGATCGAGCCTCGTGCGGCAGGTCGGGCAAGTTGTGGACGCGAAACGCCTCCGCGTCCGAGACGGCGGCCGCTTGGCTGCTGAGGCTCGTGTCGCGGAGGCCGCCGCTCTGGAGGAGGACAAAGGCGGCGCCGGCGGCGCCGGCGAGGGTGAGCGCGACAACGCCGAGGAGGCGGGAGGGAGAGGCTGCCGCCGCCGGCCTTGGAGGCAGCGAGAGGTACGAGGCGGCGTCCGACGACATTGAACGTCAGCACACCGGATGGACGCACGACCGACCCGATCTCGTCGGAAGTTTGCTTCCTTGAGCACTTGAGCACTGGATAGGCTCGATTCCGCATGGTACGGGACCCCTCGATCGTCTCGCCCACCCTCACTGGTGTGTTCATGTTTGCTTCCTTGGAGTTGTCGGATGCTGTGAAGCTCGGCGCCCTTGGCGTACGCGACGTCGCTGTGGGTGCTTCTATCTTTGCACTTTGGGGGCGTGTCTAGGTACGACTTTTGAGCGCCTTCAAAAAGAAAACATCCCAAACTGTCACTCTCCTTTCTCCCGGCCGGGGTGGGGCGCGCGGGGGGGCGGCGGGTGTGCGGGATGTCTGTGGGGGGCCGAGATTCGGCGACGTGGAAAGGCTCACGAGCAACAATATACACATGAGACCTCGCCTACCTCCGCTGCGACTGCGGAGCAACGCATTCTCCGCCCGCACCGCCGACGCGCTCTCGCGCCGGAGCGGCCTGGCGTGGACCGACGTCTACGCCGAAACCGACGCCGCTCAGCTGATCTCCGTCGGAGAGAGGACGCTTGTGCGGAACGCGAGTGGGCCTGGCCTCTCCGCCTCGCTGGCCGCGCCGATACTGAGCGTCGGGACGCACCGCATTCGCTTCGTCAGCTCCGGCGAGGGGTTGGTGGTTGGCGTCGCTGCGGCGTCGCCCGCGCTGTGGGGAGCAAGGGCTTGGGGCCTGGGAGGCTGGAGCGGCTGCATGCACGCGTGCCCGTCGGCGGTGGAGGACGGGCTGGTGGGCGAGGAGGTGCCGCTCGCGCAGCTGGCCGACGAGGACGGCCGCAGGGCGCTGACGATGGTGGTGCAGGTCGGAGAGCACTCGTCGCGGCTCGGGTTTGAGATTGCCGATGGCGCAGCTGAGCCCTTCACGTCCAAGCTGCTGCTGCCTCCCGGCCCGCTGCGGCCGTGGGCGCTCTTCACCTCGGAGGGTGGCGGCGGCGCGCCCGGCGCCTCCCTCTCGCTGCTCGGCTACTCTGGGGATGGCGGCCCCGGCTTGAACCTACCTCTGCCGGCGCAGAGGCAGAGCCAGAGGGAGGCGGTGGTGGGGCGCGGTGGGGCGGCGGTGGAGGAGCCCGAGGAGGAGGAGCTGGCGATGGAGGCGGCGGAGCGGCTCGCAGCGATGGCGGCGCCGGCGTGGAGGCGAGTGGAGCAGTGAGGGAGCGGGAGTGGAGGCCAGCGCATGTGTTCCTTACTACATAATAGGGTATCATCCTCATCCCTTGTGCGTTGTCGCGCGTCTTTGATCTTTGTCTTTGATAATTGGAGTCCCTGATCCTTCGTGGATGTGGTTGTGTGTAGCTTATTCATGCATGGCGCCCTCTCTTTTTTACCGTTTCGGTCTCGCCACTCTGTGTGTGTGTGTCCTGTGCATATGTCTGTGGGCCCCCCCGCTGACCACTGAGTCTGCGACCACTTCGCAAGTCTGTGGAGACCCTGGCACCCTGCTCCCTGGGACCGGCCTGTTCGCGCCTGACGAGCACCCTACTCTCCGCCGCTGCTCTCAGGAGGGACGGCTGCTGGAACGGCTGCTGGAGCGGCTAGCTGCCCGGCAGCGAGAGAGTGCGCCTCCACGCCTCATCGAGGTAGGCTCTGCGGGCGAGGGGCTGGCGGGGGGCGCGGCTGCCGCTCAGCCACTCTGTCTGCTCCACGAGGAGGGCGAGGTGCTCGGAGGGCACCTGGCGCACGCGGCTCGGTGTGAAGAAAGAGTGGCGGTGGCGTGCGGACGGCAGGGGCACGCAAGGCACCGACAGACCGCCGCCGCCCTCGCCGCCGCCCTCGCCGCCGTTGTTGTCGCCGCCGCCGGGGGCATACGCGCGCAGCAGCTCAGCAAGCGCCTAGTCTCAGCTAGATCTCGCGCTGATCTCGGCTGATCTCGCGGCGTGGTTCCCATCCGCAGCTCTGCCAGCCTGGGTCGCCTTGAGGGAGCCAGCCTCCCCCTCCTGCAGCAACGCGCGGTCCACGCGCGGAGCTCGCCTGCTCACAGCGGCGGCGCGTGAAGAGACGCTGCTCGCAAGGGGCGGCCGGCACGCGCGCCTCGCCGAAGGAACGAGTCGGAGCGAGAGAGGGGCTGCGCGGCTGCGCGGCGCGCGCTCGCCGCCTTGAACCAGGAGGAGACGTAGACCCGCCTAGTGGGTGAGGGGCCGAGCCTCGGTCAGGGGCGGTCTCGCCGCCTTCAAAGCAGGAGGAGGTGCAGACGCACTTTGCGTGCGGCGCGCTCGGCACCCGCGCGCCTTGTTCACAGGCACGCGGTGTGAAGAGACGCTGCTCAGCCGCGCGGGGAGACACTCGGCGTCCCGTCCCCCGCGCCTCCGAGCCGTTCGATGTGGTGGCAGACCCCGACCAGCTCGCGCGAGGAGAGGAGGCGGCCGCCGCCCGCCTCGAACGGAGCCAGCAGCTTCAGCAACTCCTGCTCGGTCGGCCTTGCGCAAGCCGACAGCAGCTGCTCGGCGAGGGAACTGGTGCCGCCGCCGCCGCCGCACCGGCCCTCCGCTGCTGGCGCGGTCAGCGGCCGCGCGGGTAGAGTGCCGCCCATCCCTCCCCCCCACCCTCCCGCCCTGCCGCACGCCCACCCACCCTCCAGCCCCCCACCCGCCCCTCCCCCCGCCCCTCCCCCCGCCCCTCCCCCCGCCCCTCCCCCCGCCCCTCCCTCCGCCCCTCCCCCCGCCAGCCCTCCCCCCGCCAGCCCTCCCCCCGCCAGCACCCCACCAAGCCGCTGGACGTCGCAAGCAGACGAAACGCTGGCGCCAGCAGTAGCAGCGACGGTAGCACGCTGCCGCGTTGCCTCGCCAGCGAACGGCGCGGGCGGCGGAGCGGCGGCGGCAGCGACGGCGCCATGCGCTGTGGCGGCTGCGGCGGCGGCTGCGGCGGCCGACGATGCGACCGCCACCGCCGCCGCTGCAACACTGCGACGGCGTCGCGCCTCCCACCGGTACCAGTCTCCCACCAGCGACAGCAGCTCCTCCGGCGACTCGTCGGCTGGCGGCACTCCGGTGGCGGCGGAGACGGCGGCGGCGGCGGAGGCGAGGGCAGCGCCGCGAAGCAGCGGTGCGATAGCGGGGACAACAGCGGAGGCGCCGAGCTGTAGCCGCTCGTACACACCTGTCGACGGAGAGGGGGTGTGAAGAGACGCGCTCCACGGGATGGTCGAGCCGGAGCCGCCCATGCACACCGTCGAGCGTCGAGGGCGGAGGGGACGGCAGAGGCGGGGATGAGAATGGCGGGGATGAGAGCGAGGAGGAGAAGAGGAGCGGTGGCAAGTCTCGAGTCTCCTCCTCCCACGCTGCCGCGGCGGAGGGCGCAGGCGGAGCGCTGAAGCCCATTGGCGGGTCCGGAGGCGCTCGCTGCTGCTTCTGCTGCTGCTGCTGCTGCTGCGGCTGCTGCGGCTGCGGCTGCTGCGGCTGCTGCTGCTGCTCGATGCGAGGTTGTTCGAGGTGGGGGAGGACGGCGGCGTACCAGTCGTCGATCAGGCAGCGCCGCGCCGAGAGGCTGGCGGGAGACCGCTCCTGCCCCAGCGCCGCCGCCACCCTCTCGCACAGCAGCGGAACAGCTTGTGTCGGGATTTGCCCTCCGACCTTGAGCTGCCCGATCTCGGCCGCGAGACCGCGCTCCTCGGCGGACGCGCCGCCGATGCGCCGGATGCGACTCGCGCTGAGGGAGCGCGACAGCTCGCTTCCGTCCACGCTGCCTGGCGTGACTGGCGCCGCCGTCGCTGGCGCTGCCGCCGTCGCCGCTGCCGGCTCTCCTGAGCGGCTGAGCGTGGCGGGAGAGGCGCTGGGAGGCCGTATCGTCGGCGGAGGCCCGTGACGCGAGTTCTGCCGCGGGATCGGCGGCGGCGGGAGCGATTCACCGCCGCGCCCGCGTTCGCTGGTGCGCCAATCCCCGATGAAGACTCGGCGCTGCGCAAGCGTCTTTGGAGCCTTGTTGCCGGAGAGCGCTTCGATGCGCGAGGAGATCGAGCCAAGGGCTCGCGACGGGACGACGCCGTCGTTCGAGTCCAGCAGGGCGCATAGCGCCTCGCTGTCGAGGGAGGCGACCTCCCACGAGCCGTCGAGGGAGCCGTTGGCGGCCATTGCGCATTTTTTTCTTTGAATAAAGAATTCTCCACGCCTTCACAGCTAAATATCATAACCACGCGAGATCAGAAGCCGCGAGAACAAGGGACCGGCAGGAGGCGGCGTCGCAGGACGAGGCAGAAGAGAACGACGCGACAGAGGAGGAAGTGACAAGGGAGAGACCGACGAGAGTGGGACGGCCGCGAGGTGGCATGAAGGTTGCAGCGAGAAGCGGCGAGAGACTGCGAAAAGAGATACGAAGAGGCAGACTCCCCAGGGTGGGCGACGGCTAGCGCACCACACTCCTCTCCTTAAAATCCCTGTGTGGTGGCGGCGTGCCGTTCTCCCATCCCTCCCTTGGGTTGTGTGTTTTCTTTCTTTCTTTCTTTATCATAACCACGCGCCGTTCAACCATCCCGGAGGGTCTCCGCCGCGTCGTCCCCCTCCTCCCCCTCCCCCCCCTCCGCGCCCCCCTCCGCTCCCTCCCCCTCCTGGCGCCTCCCCCTCCGCAGCGCCTTTGCCGCCCGCCGCCGCGCCATCCGCTCGAGCGCCGCCTGCTCACACACACTTCGGCGTGAGAAGAGGCGCCGTTCGCACCTCCACGCGCCGATCCAGCTCGAGGCGTCGCCTTCGCCGCCGCCTCCCTGGCCGCCTCCCTCTCCTCCCTCGCCTTGCGGCCGAGCCGGCGGCAGGTGAGCGAGACGCGGCGGCGAGGGTGCGGCGGGAGAGCGTGCAGCCAGTCGGGGCCGGCAGAGGGGCCGTCGAGGCGGAGGACCTGAGCGGGCCGGGGACGCGCCGCTTCTCGGTGGGAGAAGAAGAGCGGACGGGCAGTCGACGCGGCAGGGCACCGAACCGCTGGCCAACTCGAGCCGGCAGGCCTCGGTGTACACGGGCTCGCCTTGGGCGGAGGGGGCGGGAGGTGCCGTCACTGTGCGAGTGTGCGTGCGTGCGTGCGTGCGTGCGTGCGTGCGTGCGTGCGTGCGTGCGTGCGTGGGTGGTGCGTGCGTGCGTGCGTGCGTGCGTGCGTGCGTGCGTGCGTGCGTGCGTGCGTGCGTGCGTGCGTGCGTGCGTGCGTGCGTGCGTGCGTGCGTGCGTGCGTGCGTGCGTGCGTGTGTGTGTGTGTGTGTGTGTGTGTGTGTGTGTGTGTGTGTGTGTGTGTGTGTGTGTGTGTGTGTGTGTGTGTGTGTGTGTGTGTGTGTGTGTGTGTGTGTGTGTGTGACTGGGTGCGGGTGATGGTGAGGGTGCGGGTGTGGGTTGAAGAGAGAGCACCTCCCTCCTGCGGCGGCACGCGTGTCCCAAAACCGACGCAGTGGTCCGACAGGAGCGAGACGGTGCAAAACGGCCGCGCGAAGGCATCGCTGTCGACGTGGGGCGGAAGCCAAGCGCCCTCCTCGTACACGTTGACGCAGACCGAGTCGGGCCGCTGCGCCGCACCGAAGACCCCCGCCGCCTCCAGCGCTGAGAAGAGGTCCTCGAGGATTGGAGGGAGCGGCTCGACCGGCGCTCCGAGCAGTTTGTTGCACTTGACGAGGCAGCCAAAGTGGACCGTCTCGCGCCCCTGTCCGCGTGCTGCCCACTCGGCGGGAGGCCGCTGGTACGACTTTCCGGCGAGAAGGCCGGCGCGGCCACGCGCGAGAGCGCTCTCCGCGAATTCCACAAGCGCGGCCTGCGCCGGCGCGTCGAGCAGGTCGCGGAAGAGCTGCAGACCGGCGGGACTCGCTCCGTCACGCTCCATGGCGGCGAAGCGAAGCGGGCGCTTGGTTTTCTTTCTTTGCCGTTCTTAACGGAGTCGCTTAGGCGGCTCCGGTGGTGTGCCGGTGATAGTACTAGCACGCGCCAGTTCGCACCTGTGTCGAGCCTGTGTGCTGTGAGAGAGAGTTGTTTTGTTTAAATTCTTTCTTTGTAAAATTCGGGCCTTCGCCCAACCTTGTCCGCCGGCCCGGACCGACGAACGCGCACAGCGGCGGCGGGTCCGGCATCTTACCCACTCTCACCTCTTGCGTGACCCACTCTGACCTCTTGCAATCGCGTTTCTTACCCCTCGTCCATTCATCGCATTATCTCTCTCTTGTTTGTTTGTTATCTTTCGTCCGTCCCGCTGACGAAACAAATCTCTCTCTCTCCCTCTCTCCCGCTGCGCTGAAAGAAAGAAAGAAAACAGACAAACCAAGGGAGGGATGGGAGGACGGCACGGCGCACGCCGCCACCACACAGGGATTTTAAGGAGAGGAGTGTGGTGGCTGGTGCGCTAGCCGTCGCCCACCCTTGGGCCGTCCGGCCGTGCCCCGCGGGGGCGCGGTCGGCACCAGAAGGGGGTTGATACGTTCTCTAGAGACGACGTAGTCGTGGACGGCCGCAATCACAGTGGACGGACACGACGAGACGAGTGTGAAAGCACGGAGGCAACAAAACACACTAGGGTTCGGGAGAAGGCTAGGGTTAGGGAGAGAGTGCCTGACGGGCTTCGGCCCGACGTCCCCCCCCTCGACTTAGTCGAGTAACGACATAGTCGAGTAACCGTGCACTCTCGGATCACGATGCGTTAGGGAACGTGATGTTCATGACCGGAGATTTGATGTTCATGATCTTGTCACGAAGCTCGAAGAACCGTTCCGGGGCGTCCGACTGCTGGTACAGCTTGATCAGCGCGTCGGTGCCGCTCGCGATGACCTTGCTTGAGAGGGGTTCGATATAAACGGTGCCCCCTGATGCGATGAGAATGAAGATGCCGGTCCGCGTCCTCTGGTCGCTGGAGGTGCTGACCTTGAGGAGGGTGCCGGCATAGGCGAGCGTGCCGGCGCCCGCCTCGACGTTGTTGCGCTTGAGCCACTTTGTGGCTTCTTCAGAAGCGGCTTTTGCGATGACTGCGACATCTTTGGGGGGGACCTCTCCGAGGTCCCCCGCCAGCGAGTCGCCGGCCATATCTGGGATAGCGTGAAGGGACTCCCCCAAAGTGCTGGTCGTGACCAGTTGACGCTGCCACGTCCGGCCGTGCCCCGCGGGGGCGCGGTCGGCACCAGAAGGGGGTTGATACGTTCTCTAGAGACGACGTAGTCGTGGACGGCCGCAATCACAGTGGACGGACACGACGAGACGAGTGTGAAAGCACGGAGGCAACAAAACACACTAGGGTTCGGGAGAAGGCTAGGGTTAGGGAGAGAGTGCCTGACGGGCTTCGGCCCGACGTGGGCGTCTGCCTCTTTCTATCTCTCTATTTTATCTCTTTTCGGACGTCGCAATCCCTGGCCGATTCTCGCTGCAACCTTCATGCCACCTACCTCGCGGACGCGGTCGCCCCACTCACTCTCGTCGTTCTCCCTCCTGTCGCTTCATCCTCTGTCGCGTCGCTCTCCTCTACCTCGTCCTGCTGCGCCGCCGCTGCCCGCCGATCCCTTGCTCTCGCGGCGGTGCTTTGTTCATTTTGCAAAAAATTATTTTCGCACGTTACACCCAAGAACTATGGCGTCCCGCCAGCCCATCCGCGCAAACCACAGGCCCCCCGCACGCGCCTCGAGGAGGATCGACCTTCGCCTCGAGGCCCTCGCGCAGAAGCTCGACCGGCCCCAGACCGCCAAGTCTGCCCTCGCCGAGCTCGCCATGCTAGCCGGCGCCTCCGAGACGGCGCGTCGAGCAATGCGGGTGCGCACACTGCTCATTGGATGGGAACCCGCCCACCGCTCGCGAATTGCCACGGCGGTGGCTGGTGGTCGTGTAGCGCGCGCTGCGCGGTCGGCCTCCGAGCGCGTCCGGCCTCCCTCTCTCTGAAACCCTTAGCTGGTCACCTCCTGCCCACAACCCGTCTCTCAGGCTGCGCGGCTGGAGGAGCGGCTGGCTGGGCTGCTCGGCGAGGGGTGGGTCGACTCGCAGGCACAGTGCTGGTGTATGTCCGCCCTCTCCAACCTGTCCGTCGGGGGCGGCGCCGCCGTTGGTGACGGCAACCAGCTGCAGCTCGGGGTTGTGCCCGTCCTCTCGGCTCTCGTCGCGAGCGGAGCAGCAGAGGTCAGGCACGCGGCGACGCTTCATCTCGCGACGCTGTCGCATTCGACGCGGATGAGAGACGCCATCGCAGCTGAGCGCACCGCCCCGCTCGGGTCGCTCTACAAGCTCGAAGACTCGTGCGCCAAGCCTCCTCCAGCGGAGCCGGCCGGCGCTGGCGTCACTGATCCGGCGGAGGGCTGCACATCTCCATATCACCGGAGGCTGCGTGACGAGGCTCTGGTGTACGCCCGCTGGTCGCTCCGCACGTCGCACGGGCGAAACTACAAACCCGCCTTCGAGAAGAACGCCTTTCTCGCGCGGCAGGCGCGTGCCCGCGGGATGCGAGGCCCCTTGTCTCCAGCGTTCTCCGAACCTTCACAGCACACCTAAATAGGCCAGCCGCGAGGACGGGGCCCTGCGGCTGCAGGCGCGCATCCGCTCACGACTCGCGCGACGCATGTTTACCGCTGGCAGGGTGTCTCGATTGTGCGCCAGTCTTAAGCTGCAGGCGGCCTACCGCGGCAGTCGGACGCGGCAGCTCACACATTCCCTGCGGAGAGACCTCGGCCAGGCGGCCACCATGCTGCAGAAGAACGTCAAGGGGCGGCTCGCTCGGAGGCCCACCCCATCGCCGACTCCCGCCGCCCCGGCCGTGGCGTCGCCGCCTCTGCCAGAGGAGCGGCCGGTGGCGGTGCTCGGGCTGCGGGTTCACAATGCGGAGAACAAGAAGATGTTTATGGTGCTGCGGGTACGAGCGTCGTCCGCCAGGCCTCGCAGCCCTTCGACCAGACCCGCCCGCGACGTGGGAGGAGAGGCGGAGGGTGGGGCGGGCGATGAGTACGTGCCGCTGCTCCTGCGCCTCGAGGGCGGCGGTGCCATGGAGCTGCGCTGCCGATGCGGCCCGGCCTAACGCATAACCCGTGCCGCAGTCGCGAACGCATTCTCGGGGGATCGGAAGCACAGAGAAATCCCGCGAGCGATCTGTGCGGCTTCTGGGCCGGTCCGGCGAGCGGCGTCCGCTCACCGCTGCCCGCGGCGCCGCGCCGATCTCTCCCCCAGGCCCAGCGCCCCGGCCGCCCCCGCGCCCGCCCCGCCCGGCGCCCCCGGGTGGAGAGAAGCGCGAAGGCCGAAGCGCGCAAGCGGCGCCGCTGTGCACGCGGGGCGGTGTGGAGTGTGAGTGTTTATGTAAGTACACGCGACGTATGTCGTTCGAGTTGATCCGCAGCGACCAGCGTAATGTTTCGCGAAGTCTACTAAAAAGGGTTGCCGCTTGCCGGCGCACGATCCTAATATCCGCCCCGGCGAGGGCTTGTCTGAGGAGGGGCCTGGGCTTGTCTCAGGACCTCAGCCCTCGTCACACACGGGCGCCCCGCCAAGCGAGCCACCTCAGAAGGCCAGGAGGCCGAGGCCGGCGCAGACGAAGACGGTGATGACCGGAAAGAGGTGGATGGGCATCTTCGGGTCGAGCGTGAGCTGCGCCTTGAGCGGTCCCATGATGCCAACGGCGATCTGAGTGATCAGGGCCGGCAGAAAGGTCGTCTCCGACGGGCAGACCTTCAGGAGCGCGCACTGGCCGAGGATGAGCACGCCGATGAAGCGGGCAAAGAAGAGGTGGAACGCGTCGAGCTCCTTCTCAAAGAACTGCGAGATGAAGAACTTGGGGATGAGGAGGAACTGGAGGCCAAAGAGGCCGTTCGAGACGACCAGCGTGGTGGCGAAGGTTTCCTGCGACCGAGAGGTTGCGGTGAGGACGTCGCACAGAGCACGGGCACGAGGACCGACAGTTTGTTGTCAAAGGAGGTCGGGAATGCGCGGCGGTGGCCTTCGAGATGACGCCGCCACCGCGCAGCACGAGCGCCTTGGTGAGCGGCGCGTCGACGACGCGCGGCACGAGGGCCGTGGGTGGCGCGAACGCTGCCACTGAGGCGAACAGGGCAGAGAGGAGAACGGCGCGCATTGCTGTTGGGCGGCGGGTTTTCGGGCGCGGTGATTGCTCGGTTTTTTTCCCCGGGCATCCTCCGAGCTCCGACCCAGCGGAGCGCAGACCGAGGGGGGGGTCGGTCGGGTTGGCTCGAGGGTCACACCGCACACGCTCGCCGCAGCTGTGAATAAATAAGTATCTCGAAATACTAGAGACACCAACCAAGCGACCTCTCCCCGTCTAATCACTCCTCGTGACGTCGTCCGAGTTGCTGAGCTCGAGACCGCGCTCAGGATTGGGTCGGAACACGAGCTCGTCCATGTCCACGCTCTGGTCGTCGTCGTCGTCGTCCATGATTAGCTTCGCCGGCGACACACTGTAGCCGTTGACGAGCCGCTTGAGCGCGGCCAGCACCTCCTTCTGCCGGCCGCGCGCCCACGGGGGCAGCGTGCAGTAGAACTCCTCGAAGGTGAACTGCTCCTCCTCCGACTCCAAGAAGAGGTCCACCTCCTTCTCCACCTCCGTCGTGAGGTTGATCTGTAGCTTGAGGGGTGTGTCGCCGCTGTCGCTGTTGTGCCCGCCTCACGTGCATCAATTGAATGGTCTCTCTCTCTCGGAGGGGTCGAGCGAGGGGGGGCACTTGGAGGAGGAGGCGGCCCGGGTAGCTCGCTGCGCGAGCCGAGGGGCGGCCGGGCAGCCGCCTCAGCTGCACCGCCTCCCGTCGCGCCGCGGTCGCCGCCCCCTCAGCGCCGTCGCCGCGTCGTGACTCCTGGCGAGGCATGCGAGCAGGCATCTTGGTTCTCGGCGGGACATCCGCTGGCCTGCTGCTCGCCTACCTCGCAGGACGGCGTCACTGGCGGCGGCGGAAGCCGTCACCTGCGGCTCTGGCGCTGCTAAAGACGGTCGACAGCGCGGCACTCGAGGCGGAGCTGGCGCGGAGATCGGTTGGCGCGCACGTCATCAACACCTCGGTGCGGCCGCTACACGCGGCGCGTGCCGCCGCCATCGACGCCGAGCTCTCCCGCCTCGGCGTCGCCTCGCCGGACGCCCTCGCACCCGGCCCGCCTCGAAAGGCGTACGAGACGTTCGCGCGGCCGCGGGAGGGGGAGCCGTGCGACGACGACTACGTGCGTCGCAAGGCGCCGCTGATGGCGCAGCAGGTCGCCTTCCTCCACCGGCACGAACAGGTGCGGCCCCAGCCGCCTCACCCGTCCGACCCGCCCTCCGCCACAGCTCGCTGTGCATCCCTCCGCCACAGCTCGCTGTGCATCGCGGGCGCAGGCGCGCCGCAACGAGCTTCTGCGCAACGTCGACGACGCAACCCAGGCGCTGGAGCGGGCGGCGCGGCCACGGCACAACGTGACGGTGGTGCTCGACAACCTGCGGTCGGCAGAGAACGTGGGCTCAATCTTCCGGACGGCCGACGCGACGCGGGTGTGTCGCGTGGTCACGTGTGGCTTCACCACCACGCCGCCCGACCGCAAGCTCGAGAAAACGGCGCTCGGCGCTCTCTCGTCGGTGCCGTGCGACCACTTCGAGGCGACGATCGCGGCGGTGAGGCATCTTCGCTCGCGCGGCGTGTACGTGGTTGCGCTGGAGACGACGGAGGACGCGATCCCTCTCGGCGTCGCGCCGCAGCTGGGCGACGAGGGCCGCGGCGTCGCCATCGTGCTCGGCAACGAGGTGACGGGGGTCGACAAGGCCGTGATGGAGGAGTGCGACGCGGTGGTGGAGATCCCGGTCTTCGGCGTCAAAAACTCGCTCAACGTGGCGTGCTGCGCGTCGGTGGCGCTGTACGAGGTTCTCCGCCGGTGGGGCAAGTGGGAGAGCCGCGTCGAGCGATGACGCCGGCGTTCGCCCCGCCGCCAGTCCCAGGCCAGCTGCGCAAGCTACTGAAGGCCCTACCGTGGCCCTGGTACGTGTAGCGAGAGCATGTGCTGCGTCGCGTAGCGAGAGCGGGTGCCGTATGCGCGACACCCGCGTCACGTGAGATTTGTGCGGGTACACGTCAGTCAGCATGGTGCATGCTCGGTCTCTTTTGTTTTTGGTTCATATATCGTTCCTAAAAAGTCTCGAAACAAGTTTTGAGAAGGCTGCCGCCAAATGCAACGCCAAAACGAGCACCTCGCCCCCCCGTACCTCCGTACCTATTCCTTTAATTTAGGCCACCGGGCACGGGGCAGGCAACGGCCCTTTTGCGGCTCTTAACTTCTTCAGCAATTTTTCCCGATTGTGGTGCCAGTGCAACCCAAAAGAAAGAAAAACAAAAGCGATCAGCGATCTAGAATTCTTTTGCCTGTGTTAGTGCCAGTGCGCGCCAGTCCCGTGCCCAGTGTTGTGCGAGGGAGTTTTGTTGTAAAATTCTTTTGCCGGGAGAGCACTACCCCCCCACCTTGGTTGCCGACAACGCCGGCCGCTCGGCTAGTGACTCGGCGCTCGCCTAACGCGTTGGGCTATCCCGACGCGATGGGCTGCGGCGCAAGCTTGCCGACGGCGGCGGAGTTCCTGTCGGAGTTCCCGCTGCCCGCGGCGCAGTACGGTGACCTGGCCACCACCGATAAGGTCGTGGTGCTCAAAGTGAAGCAGAAGCTCTTCTCGATCCGTGGAGACTTCATTGTCAAGGACGCCGAGGGCACGCCGTTCTGCAAGGTCATCGGCATATTCGCATCAATGCGGCAGCGCTGCGTCATCAAGGACATGAACGACCAGCCTGTCGCGTGTGTGCTCGAGAAGGTCATGTCCATGTCGCCGGCGATGTTCATCTATGGCTTCAAGCCGTACTTCGAGGGACAGCAGCCAACCGGAGAGACGCAGAACGAGCTGCCTCTGTACGCGTGGGCCAAGGTGTGGAAGCCGATAAAAAGCCTGACGCCGATGCTCTGCATCCAGATGGCCAACGGCAACGACAGCTACACGGAGGCAAGCTTCGAGACGACCGACTTCAAGGCGAAGGCACCGAGCATGCTCGCGCCGCGCCTCTCCGTGTGCAAGGGCGCCGAGTTTGGGACGAACGTTGCTGCCTCATCGACCGCGCCACGCTCCAGTTCGAGGGCATGAACGTGTACGACGTCACGGTCGCCAAGGGCATCGACCCGATCCTCATGGTCGGCCTCACCCTGTGCAAGGACAAGATCGAAGAGAAGCAGAGTTCTTGAGAGAGGGGTGCCGCCCCCACAGCCGCCTCCGCTGGCGCCTCCGCTGGCGCCGCCCCGGGCGCAGCCTCCTCGAGCAACTCCCCGATGATGAAAAACGGGCCCGCTGAATTTCTTCCAGGAGACCAAGGCGGTGCCACGGCGCCGCTACCACCCGCCCAAACTTACGCCGGCGGCGGAGCTGCTGGATCTTTCGGAGTTCTCGTCTACCAGCGAGTTCTTACAGCAGGCGCAGCGGCGGTACACCGTCGGCGTACACCATCGCAACTGGCTCGCCCTCGCCGACGCCTTCGTCAGCGAGGCATCCCGGCAGGGCGGCCGCTACAAGACTGGCAGGTGCAAGAACCACAAGTGCTGGCGCGAGGCGATTCGGTTCGTCGCAGTCAGCCAGGAGGGGGCTGGCGCCTTCCTGAATGCGATCCCCATGCGGGATGATATGAAGATGGAGACGTGGGCGATGCGCATGACAGTTCAGCGCCGCCTCGGCCTCCCGCTCGATGTTGCCTGCCAGGCGGTGGAGGCGGGCAAGAAGGCGCCAAACGGCAAGCCGCACGAAGAACTCGGCGATGCCGCAATGGTCAACCCGCGTGCGAAGCACGCGACACGACACAAATACCTGCTCAAACGACTCGTCAAGACCCTTCGCTCGGCGTGGGGCATGCTCATCGAGATGGAGCCGACTGCACACCTCAGTTACAGTAACCCTAAACAACCTGACGTGGCGGCGGCGAACATCGGCAAAGGGCATGTGCGCCTCGTTGGCGACTTGAAACTGACGAGCTCGCTTGCGTGCAAGGGTGGCGATCGGCTCGGCTGGAAGGGGGCTTTTGTCGCCTTCGGCAACACCGAGCGGGCGCTGCTCGACTTAGTGTTAGGGCATGCTGCATGGCCGCGGCCGGGAGGGGGGGGGGAGGGGGGGAGGGAGGCGGAGGATGCAGAGGCGGAGGCGGCGGCGGCGGAAGAGGAGGAGGGGGAGAGTGAGGGGGAGGCGGAGGCGGGGGCACCTGTGACGGCCCGCTACGAGAAGGGCGAGTACCGGTTCGCGCGGGAGAAGAATTGCGACCTGCGTTTGCTCGACTTCGAGACGTTCGGCGGCTTCGGGGACGGCGTCCGCAGAATTCTTCGGCAGGCGGCGGACCAGCTGAGTAACAAACTTTCGCACGCTCAGCACCTCGATGAGGTCACATGGACCACCAAGAACTGGCACGGGCTGCAGATGCAGCGCTTGTCTGTCGTTCTCCACACCGCCGTGGCGTGGCAGACGGTGAACGAGCTAGCGTGCGGGGACAGCGGCATTGTGCACGGAGCTAAGTGCATTGCCGTTCTTAACGGAGTCGCTTAGGCGGCTCCGGTGGTGTGCCGGTGATAGTACTAGCACGCGCCAGTTCGCACCTGTGTCGAGCCTGTCTGCTGTGAGAGAGAGTTGTTTTGTTTAAATTCTTTTTTCAGAAAAACGGGAGCGTGAAAAAATCGCGCGCCGCGCGCGCCAACCCGCCGCCCCTGGGACTGCCAAAACGCAGGAGTCGACAGAGGCCCGCGAATCGGCACAATGCCACCCAAGCGCACGCGCGACGGCTCTGACTCCGAGGCCTCCTTCACCGACGACGACGACGTCGACGTCGACGACGAGCCAGCGCCCGACCTTTCCGACGGCGACGAGGCGGAGGACAACCCTTCCCGGAGGCGCTCCGTTGCAGAGCGACTCAAGCGACTGCAAACGAGCTACCCGCACGACCGCGACCGCACACGCGAGTGGCTTCTCGAGCGCGTGGGCGACGCGGAGGCCCGCATCGCAGCCGCCACCACCGCCTCTCTCTCGCAGCCGAGAAGCCTCAAGTGCTCTCTCCATTCGTACCAACTCGACGGCTTTCGCTGGCTGGTGGCGCTGCACCGGTGCGGCCTCTCCGGCATCCTCGCCGACGAGATGGGGCTCGGGAAGACGGCGCAGGCGATCGCTCTCCTCGCGCACCTCCGCGAGAGCGGCGGCGGCGGCGGCGGCCCCTTCCTCGTCATCGCGCCGTTGTCGACCTTGTCTGGCTGGGCGCTGCAGCTCTCGTCCTTCTGCCCGGCGCTCTCCTTCCTGCAGTACACCGGCGCCGCAGCCGACCGCGCCGCCGCCCGCCGCCGCCTCTCCGCCGCCTCGCCTCCCGACATCGTCCCCACACCTCCGAGGCTGGCGCGGCAGTGAAGAAGGCTCTCTTCACAGCTCCACCCGTGAACAGGTCCTCGCCTCCTTCGAGCCGGTGCTCGCAGATGCGCCCGAGCTGCGCGCCGTGGCGTGGAGCTTCGCCGTGATAGACGAGGCGCGCCGGCTCCAACAAACCTCGTCCCGACACGTCCGCGACACGTCCTCGCATGGCCCGCGACACGTCCTTGCATGGCCCGTCCCGGAGGCGCACCGGCTCCAGAACCTTCCCTGACCCTTCCAAGAACCTTCCATCACGGCCCGTCCCGCAGGCGCACCGGCTCAAGAACCGCGCCTCCTCCCTCTACCACTGCCTGCTAGACGAGCTCGGCCTCGGAGGCGTGCCTCGCCTGCTGCTGGCCTGGTGAGCAAGGATGACTCATGAACAGCCGTTGGCCTCTCGCCAGGCGTGCCTCGCCTGCTGCTGACTGGCACCCCGATGCAGAACCGCGCCGGCGGGCTCTTCTCCTCGTCTCCTCCCCCTCCCTCACGGTCCGATGGAGCAGTCCATCCTCCGCAGGCGAGCTCTTCTCCCTCCTCCACTTCGCAGCCCCGTCTCTCTTCGACGACGCGGGCGGGTTCGTGACTTGGCTCGGGCGGCACCTCGCGCCGGGCCACCCAGGATCACCCGAGACCGCCCGAGATCGTCCGAGAGTAGGCTCGAGGAGGGCCTCGCGCCGGGCGGCGACGGCGCGGCCGCGGCGCAACGGCTGTGGCGGCCGCTGATGCTGCGGCGCCGCAAGGCGGAGCACTTGAGTCTTCCGCCAAAGGTGGAGCGGAGCGTGCGCGTGCCGCTCCGCCCGCTGCAGCGGCGGTGGTACCGCGCGCTGCTGGAGAAGAATGTGTCGGCGCTTGGGCCGGCGAGCAGGCCCTGGCGTCGCTGGACCTACTGCCGCCTCTCTTCACGGCTCTGGCTGTGAGCAGGCGAGCAACGCCCGCTCGCTCGTCAACGTGCTCGCCTCGTTGCGCAAGTGCTGCAGCCTCCTGCGCTCTCCGCGAGGACGATATCAGCCGAGACCACCCGAGAGTGTGGCGAGATCAGGTGCTGCAACCACCCGTACTTGTTCCCGGGCGCAGAGCCGGAGCCGTTCGAGGAGGGCGAGCACATTGTGGCAGCCTCGGCCAAGCTGCTGCTGCTCGACCGGCTGCTGCGCAAGATGAAGCCGCGCGGCGACCGGGTCCTCCTCTCGAGAGGAGAGCCACGCCCTGTGACATGTGTGTCCTCGACCCACCCGGCTGCACCGCTTGCTCAGGTCCTCCTCTTCTGCCAGAGCACGCAGATGCTCGACGTGCTGCAGGTTCCCCCCTCAGCCGCTGCGGCTATCGTCATTGTCATCGTCGTCGTCGTTCTCATTATGATTACCGTCCTCATTGCAGGACTACTTCCACCTCCGCCGCTGGAGCTACGAGCGACTCGACGGCTCCGCGCGCGCAGAGGAGCGGTGGGCGGCGGTGGCAAGTTTCCTAGACACTCCCTAGACACTTCCTAGACACTTCCTAGGAGCGGTGGGCGGCGGTGGCAAGCTTCCAGCGGCAGCCGGGAGGAGGAGGAGGCGGCGGCAGCAGCGGCAGCGGCGGCATCACGGAGCCGTTTGTCTTCCTGCTCTCGACCCGAGCAGGTGTGCGGCCGGGGCTTCGGCCTTTTCCGCGGCAGAGGGACGCGTCCACGAGAAGGACGCGTCCACGAGACACGTCCACCGCTCGCCAGGCGGACTGGGCCTCAACCTCACCGCCGCCAACGTCGTCCTCTTCTACGACCACGACTGGAACCCGCAGGCCGACTCGCAAGCCACCGACCGGGTGTGCCTAGACGTCGACGCGAGGCCTGTCACAGGCAAGCTGCTCACCGCTCTAGCTTTGAACAGGTCCACCGCCTCGGGCAGACTCGTGGAAGTGTCTAGGAAGTGTCTAGGAAGTGTCTATGAACAGGTTCACCGCCTCGGGCAGACTCGTCCTGTGCTGGTGCTTCGCCTCGTGTGCGCCGGAACGGTGGGGGGAGGCGACCCCGCCCCCTACCGACAAGTGGCTCGCAGCTGGTGAGCAGTGGAGGATGAATAGGTGGAGGAGGTGATCTTGCGCCGCGCGCACGCGAAGCTGCTCGCGTCGCGCGGCGTCTTGGCCGAGGAGGAGGAGGAGGAGGAGGAGGAGGAGGGCGGGGCGGGGAGGCCTTCGGGCGCGCCGAGTGCGTCGATGGCGGCGGAGGCGATCGCCTTTGGACTCGCCGACCTGATGGAGGGAGGCGGCGGAGACGGCGAGGGAGGCGGCGGGGCAGGAGGCGGAGGGGCAGGCGAGGGAGGCGAGTCGCTGGCCGACGCACGGAGTCGCTTCCCTCTGCGCAGCAGCTACAGCTCCCTGCCCGGCTAGGCGGCCCAGGCGGCCCGACTGACGCGCAGCTCGACTGGCTTGTGAGCGGCGAGAAGAGCGGCGCCAGCGGCAGCGGCGGCGCTGGCGGCTCCGAATGCGACTCGATCTACGTCTTCGACGGTGTAGACTTCGCAGGCAGCGCTGCGCGGCGGCGCGCCGAGGACACCAAGGCGCTGACCGCTCTCGTCGCGGCGACAGAGGCGCGGACGCAGCTTGCGGGAGGAGGAGGCGGAGGTGGCGACGCGGGCCGTGGGCGGCGGCTTGGGCCTCATAGGACCGGTGAGGAGGCTGCAGCGGAGCGGGCGAAGCAGGAGGCGGAGAGGGCGGTGGCGGAGGCGGCGAGGCGAGAGAAGGGCGCGCAGCCGTGAGCAGCGTCTCCTCAGACAATAGAGCGTGGACAGGCGGCGAAGCGCGAGAGGGCGAAGCAGCGCAAGGAGCAGCGGTGGCGCAAGGCGGGCTACATTTCCCTTTCGCTGCCCGATCCGACTAGCCTTGCCGGCGCCGCTTCTGCCTCTGGCGGCAGCGCAGTGGCAGCGGCGGCCTCCTCTCCCGACGAAGCTGCGGACGACTCTGACGCCACCGACGGAGAGGAGGCGCCGCTTCGCTTCGCAGTCGGCGACGCGATGCGCGGCGGAGGCGGCGGAGGCGAGCGGATCGTCCTCGTCTTTGCGGACGCGTCTGGCCGCTGGCCGGGCAAGGGATTCTTCCGCTCCGTGAGTGCGCTGTCGGGGAAGCCGCAGGCGCACGAGGCAGACGAGGCGGCGAGAGGTTCGTCCGAGCTCACCCGAGCTCACCCCCCGTGACAGGCGGCCTACGAGGCGGCGCACGAGAACGGCGACCTCTCTCTCGGCGACGCGCACCTCGTCGAGTGCGGCAGCGGCCTCGCGGTCTGCCTGCTGGTGGTGCTCAAGAGGGACAAGCGCGCGCCGCATGGCACGCCGCCAGACCTCTGCGCCGCCTCGCTCGACGCCGCCCTCGCCCGGCTGGCTCCGGTGGCAGCGCGGCGTGGAGCCAGCCTCCACTCCCCGCGCCTCCCCAGCGGCGGCGGTGGCGGCGCTTGGTATTCGGTCGAGAGGCTGCTGCGGAAGCACGCGGCCGTACAGACGACCGTGTACTACTTCAAGCGGTGAACACACGGTATGTTCAGGTCACGCGTGCAGGCACAGAGCTTTTTTGTCTCTCCGTCGTTCTCCCGAGGAGTTGATGTGTCCGGCCTCCCGGCTCTCAACTTTGACTCGGCTGTGTGCAGGGTAGGCTCCGCCTCACTCATCTCGGACTGGATTCCACTAATTGATTTTCCTAAAGGGTGCGGACCGTGTGAGTTCTGAGGAAAAATCGGGGGACGCGACCCACCTCGCCACAGACGGTCCCGCGCCTCGCCGCTAAGACCAAAGACGGGTACACTACCGCGGCTGGCGTGTGCGTGTACCCGTCTTTGTCCGGAGTGAATACTCCAACGCGCTCGTCGGTGACGGTGTCCCCCAACCTGCGCCGCGCTCGGCGAACCTCGTCCTCGACAGCGCGCCCCTTCGGTGGCATGCATCTCTTTGCGCCTGAAGCCTGGAGAGCAGCTCCTCTGCTGCTCACACACTCTGCACAGTTGACACAGCCTACTGTGCGGCTGCCACAGCTGTGACAGCGATGGGCTCGCCCTCACTGGCCCTCCAGTCACTTGTGCTGCGGCTTGTGTGAGCGACACTGTGCTCGGCGACTGCCGGCACACTGTGAGACCATGGGTGTGAGGTTAAACCACGCTACCAGCGCTTGGTCACATCGGCCCCGAGGTCAGATCCTTCTACTCTGTTGATGACAAGACTTGTCTACTGGCTGGATGGAGCCGAGCAGGAGACCCAGGAGGGCCCAGCGCACAACCCCTGGCTGGTCAACTCAGGGTCCACCCCGTAGCGTCGTCAAAGTGAGGTCTGGACGTCGACGGTCGAGCGGGAAAAGTTTCGCGAGAGAGCCTGTGTTCTAAACACAAGAGTTTTGGTAAAATTCTTCACACCTGTGGGCCAGAAATCTAACACACACGATCCCCGAGCAATGGATGGGTGGACGCACCGCCTCCGGCTGCCGACTCTGCGCGATCCGCGCGGTGCGTGGATGACGTTTGCTGCCATCTTCTACGTCGTCGGCGGCATAGCGTGCAGCCTGTACTGCTACCTGCACACGGGCGATCTGTCTGCCGCGGCTCTTGGTGGTGCAGTTCTGCTAGCTGCGCACAGCCGCTCAATTGCCGCTTGGCTGGTGCACGAATTCGCGCACTCGACGCTCTTCCTCGAATCGGAGTGGAACACTGCGGCGGGCGTTGCGATGATGTGGCTGTGCGGCTGCCCGTACGTCGACTTTGTGCATTGCAAGCGCATCCACATCGCGCACCACAAGGACCGTGCCGACACGGGAAGCTTTGACCATCAGGAGGACCTGAGGAAGCTGCGGGCGCCGCTGCTGAACGCGGTGTACGCGCTCGAGTACTTCTACGTGCCGGTCGTCGAGTGCCTCGTCCACGCGCGCGTCGCCCTCTGCCCGCTCGGGCTCTATCCGCTCGCTCGCCGCGACCCTTCCACGCCGATGCGCATTACCCTCACCGCGTTCGCCGGTGTGATCGCACTGCTCGCGTTGTGGAGCCACTTATGGATCGCCGGCGGCGTGCGCGCCGTGGCCCTCCGCGCGGTCGAGGCCTGCCTGATGACCCACTTTCACGCCATCCACGACTGCTTCCAGCACACGTACGAGGTGATCGCGGATGAGAACTGGGAGACGATGTATGCACACGGGCCCGGGGAGCGCACCGCTGCGTACGAGGAAGAGAATACCTACTCCAACCTTTTGAGCACCCGCTGGCCGCTGCTGAACCTGGCCTCACTGAACTTTGGGTACCACAACGCTCACCACGCCCGTATGATGACGCCGTGGTACGAGCTGCCCAACCTACACGCAAGGCTCTACGGGTGCAGCAGTACAGCAACCGGCAGGTGCTGCCCATCCGAGAGTTGCTCTGGTCGTGGCATGCACACCGCCTCAAGCGCATCCTCCACCCGGGCAGGGCGAAGTCGTTCATCCGTCTCCTTCATCACCGCGTGAGATCGGTCTTCGGTGCTGTAGCCGTCAGTGGACAATGCTTTTCTGGTTCTGCTACATACCCCGGCGGCGGTGAGTGCGCGGAGCCTCGCCGTCCTCGCCGTCCTCGCAGGAGTCGCGGCCGCAATACCCCGGCCGAAGGTCGACAAAGATGCCGTCGGAACAGCCCCGCTACAAGCTCCTGCGCGTGCCGGGCTGCGCCACGTGCGTACCGCGTGCCGGAGGTCGAGCACGTGCACGGAGGTGCATCCCGCCGGCCAAACCGCAGCGTTCGCGCCACCTCCCTCCGCATCAGGATGCAAAGGGCTGATGGGACGATTTTAAGCGTGGCGAATGGCTGCAGCGGCGTCCCGGCAGTGTCCAGTGAGGTGCGTGACGCGAGGAACGGGAGTCCCACTGGGTGGGGGCGGGGGTGAGGAAGTATCGCCACGCGCCAATGCTGGCAGAACAGGCCTGAGGTCGAAGCCTACCGACACCGTCTTCCTCAGCCACACGCCGACAAACGCCGCCACACTGCGTGGAGTGTCTCTGTCTCGTGGCAGCTGCCAGCTCTCCAGCTGGCACGCCGCAGTGTCGGTATCTCTGTGTTAGAGGTGTCACGAATCTGGGGACCCTTTGAGGCTTCACGCTAACACGGAGCTAGCTCTCGGGCCTGTACAGTTGCGTCTAGGGCGCAAAACCGCACACAGCGGCCTCTACAATGTCTCTGCGTTGTACTCGCGCTAGCGGCGGACGCAACAAATCACGTACCGGTCCGCCACTGCGCTGTACTTGCTCACGCCGCGCCGCCACAGCCGATCGAAATAGCTCGAGCTGGCGACGACGTGCCCGCACCACTCGCCTGGCGGCGCCACAATCAGCTGCAGCCCGCCCGCCGTCCGCCGCAGCGCACGCGCGCCGTCTGCGGCGGCGGCGGCCTTGGCTGCCTCGAGCGCGCCCGGCACGGCTGCCCACGCCCCGTGCGCAGCGAGGCTGTCTAGCAGGAGATCGGCAAACCACGCGTTGTCGGTGACGATGGTGAAGGTGCCCCCCGGTCGCAGCGCGGCAGCGGCCGCGTCGAAGAGGCGACGGTCGAGCATGTGCGCCGCCTCTGGCTGCTGCTGCTGCTGCTGCTGCTGCTGCTGCTGCTGCTGCTGCTGGCGGGGCGCGGCGCCGCCGACCGCGTGTTGCTGCGGCGGCTCCGGGTGGTTGCAATAGATGGCCTGCAGCGACTCGGGCGGGATCCATCGCTCGAGCGCGTCGGAGGCGCTTGCCGAGAGCGTCGCCGCGTTCCGCCTGCCCGCCAGCGCCAGCTTGGCCGCCGTGGCGTGAGCGCGGTCGCGGCGCAGCTCCAAGGCGAGCCAGCGGACGTGCGAGGGCGCCGCCTCGGCCTGGGCAGCCACCCACTCGCCGCCTCCGCAGCCGATCTCGAGCCGGTACTCTGCCGTCCGCTGCTCTGCCGTCCGCTGCTCTGCCGTCCGCTGCTCTGGCGCCAGGCCTCCCTCGCTCGGCGCAGCTCTGCTCCGCTTGCGCTCGCCCTTGCGCTGCTTGTGCGTCGCCTCCTCAAACAGCGCGGCGAGGTCCAAGCCCGCGCCCGCGCGGAGCACCCGCCGCAGCCTCTTCCGCACCGCCGCTGCCTCAGCCTCGCCCGCGCCTTCTCCACCCCGCCCGAGCCTCTCCCGCCACACACCCAGCCCACACCCCCTCTCGAGCTCCTCCCCGACAGACGCCACGGCGGCTCTGCGCGAAGCGTCGTCGTCGTCGTCGCCGTCCGCTGGCGCCGGCAGCGGCAGCAGCCGTCGGAGCAGCAGCGGCAGCGCGGCGGGCGGCGCGGCGGCTGCGAGCCGCCCGAGCTCGGCCAGCTCACTCTCCGCCTCCTCCTTTTGGTGCTGGCGGAAGACGCGCGCACCCCGCCGCTCGTCGTCGCCGCCGCCGCTCCTGCCGCCCTCGTCGTCGGCCCTCGCCAGCAGCTCGCGCGCCGCCGCCGCCTCGGTCTTGCAGCGCGCCCACTCGCCGGCGAGCGCCGAGCCGCGGCAGACGGCGACGCGCACCCGTGCGGCGGCGTGGGCAGAGGGGCGGCCCCGGCACGGCGCGCCCAGCGCGCGCGTGGCAAAGGCGGTGGCCTCGTCGAGCCGCAGAGCCTGCGCGCAGAGCAGCCCCACGTACTCGAACGTCGACGCGTCGGGAGACGCTGCCGCCCAAGCGCCGCTTCCCAGCCGCTGCACGAGGGCCACTGCATCGTCGACGCCTCCGCCCGCGACGCAGGCGCGGAGGAAAGCGTTGGCGAGCACGCGCCATCCGATGTTGCCGCCTCCGCCGCCGCTCGCTCCGCCGAGCTCGCGCTCGGCCTCGCCAAGCAGCCGTCGAGCGGCCAGGAGGTCGCCTGCGCTGACAGCCGCCGCATACTCTGCCGGCTGCGGCTGGTGGCCCGAAGCGTTCATCGCCGCCAGCGCATCGCGTGCGCCCTGCCCATCGCCGCACGCGGCGTGGGCGTCGATGAGGATGGCGTGCGAGCGCGAGTCGGCCAAGGCCTCGCCGGCAGAGTAGGCGGCGCGGCACGCCGACAACTGCCTCGACTGCGCTAGCTGCGTCAGCCGTGCATTGAACTCGCGCGTGCCGCCACGGACGCGCCATATCCGAGAGCTGTCAAAGACGTCGACGCCCATCTCACGCAGCGCCTCGCGCGCACGATCGGCAGCGCCGTAGTCCTTGACGGCCTTGGCGGACAGCCGCTGCCCAAGCAGCTCGTAGACGCGCGGCTCGTCCACCGGCACTAGCCCATTGTCGTCGCGCCGGTAGCCATGCGTCTCGATGGGTGCCGGCCCACGGTGGGTCTGCAGTACGCCGCGTAGACCGAAGACCTCAACCTCGTCGGACGGGGGGTGCGGCCTCATCGTCGACGACTCACTGCTGGTTCGGACGGGACGCGTGCCGCGCGGACCACACTTTCTCTTTTCTTTCTCGTAAAATTCTTTCTTCTCTTCCCTTTTGGTTCGAGGGGCCGGGGAGTGAATTGCTGCATACTGCAGATGAGAGATTCAATCTCCACACGAAGAGGGCGGCCAAAAGGCATATGCTCTGCGTCCCTAATGTCATCATATGGCGCATGCAACAAGCGACTCTCAATCACACTTCTCCGCCGCTCCCGTCCTGGTCGCTCCCCCCCCCGCGCTGCCCGCAGTCGGCGATGGTGACGCCCCGCACCGGCGTGCCGGCGGCAGAGCCGCACGCGCCTCCGATGGCGACCGCGTACTCGACTCCGGCTACGACGCGGCCGAAGACGACGTGCTTGCCGTCCAGGTGAGGCAGCGCATCGAGCGTGATGAAGAACTGCGATCCGTTGCTGTTGGGGCCGCTGTTCGCCATCGAGAGGAGGCCCTTTGCAGAGTGCTTCCGCACAAAGGGCTCATCGTCGAACCGGCGGCCGTAGATCGACTCGCCGCCGCGCCCGTCGCCCGACGTGATGTCTCCTCCCTGCAGGATCTGCCCGGGCACCATCCGGTGCAGCTTGCTGCCCTTGAAGTGCAGCGGCGGCCCTCCGAAGGCCTGGCACCTGCCTCTCTCGCCCGTGCAGAGGCAGCGAAAGTTCTCGGCTGCCCTCGGCGCGACGTCGGCGAAGAGCTCGACCTCGACGAGGGGCGCCTGCTCACAGCAGTGCACGCGTGCAGGAAGGACATCCTCACGCCGTGACCGGCACCTCCACCGCCTATCTCCTCCTCCTCCCCGCCCTCGGCGCCATCGACGACCAGCCGAAGCCAGCAGCGAGGGTTCGAGCTCTCCACCCGCTCGCGCCACAGCGCGTGCCGCCGCAGCGCCTCCCACCCCTTGGGCGCCCCTCCCCACCCGATGCCGAGCTCGCTCGTCAGCTCGCCGCCTCCGCCGTCCGCCCCCCCGCCGCCCCCCTCCAGCGCCGCCAGCAAGGATGCCTGTCCCGCAGCGAGGCCGCGAGGCGTGTTCCCCTTCCGGCTCGCCTTGTCCGCGTCCGCGCCTGCGCGCACGAGGAGCCGGACGCAGAGCTCGTGCCCTCCGTTCACAGCCAGCAGCAGCGGAGTCACTCCGGCCGGCTGAGTCTGCTCCGCGTCGACCTTCGCGCCCGCCTCGATCAGCCGCACCGCAGCGGCGGCGTGGCCTCCACCCGCCGCGAAGTGGAGGGCTGTGGCGCCCTTGCGGTCGGAGAAGGCGGCGTCCGCTCCGTCGCTCAGCGCGCGCGCCAGCCTCGCCGTGTCTCCGGCGCCGGCAGCGTCGATCAGCGCGTCCGTGGCGGCCTCTGCGGCGGTCTGGGCGGCCGGCTCGTGCAGCGTGATGTCGAAGCAGAGCGTCGCGTTGGGAGCGACGAGCGGAGGCTTGCCCTTGCGGCCGTACCCGAGGCTCGGAGGCACTGTCAGCCGGACGGAGTCGCCAAACCGCACGTGCGTCAGCGCCGCGTCCCACCCGGCGATGAGCTTGCCGCGGCCGAGCCGCACAGCCAGCGGGCCGCCCGCGCGCTCGGACGAGTCAAAAATCGGGCCGTCCTTGTCGCCGACTCGGCCGGTGAAGCTCACGCTGATGACCTGACCCTCGGACGGAGCCGCCGGAGCGGGAGAGGAGGTCGGCGTGAGCAGCTCGAGTCTTAGGCCGAGCGGCTCAAAGGCGGCGGGGAGGCGAGGCGAGGCGCCCGGCTGCGGCATCGACAACGGCGGAGCGGACGCCGCCTTCTCCGACCGCAAGGGCGCCACTCCTGCGGATGCGTCCTGCGGACTCCTCGCGGCCGAGGACGATGCCTCCGCGCCTTCCTGTGGACGATGCTTCCTCCGAGCGCGCGAGCGGCCTTCGTGTTTTCTTTTTAGTAAGTCCGCAAGAGACGCAGACCTTGCCCCACGCGCCCGCCTCGAAACAAGCCTAGGAGACAAGCCTAGGAGACAAGCCTAGGAGACAAGCCTAGGAGACAAGCCTAGGATGTGCTGTCCCGCGATTTCGGCCGGTTGTGCTTCTGTGAGGTGTGAGTGAGGTACGCCGTGCAGACTGATCTTTGCGCCTGATGCTGTTGCGTATCGTGCTATGTCCTAACGGCTCGTTTGAGTGAGTATTTTGTGTGTCAGGTAGGTAGGTAGAAAGGTGAAGAACAGCCAGGCTCGGACTGGACACCAACGCGGTATGGGTGGACGCTGGACAGATGATGACGACACGCACGAGCGACACACAGACACAAACAAGCTCACAAGACACACAGCCAGCTGGCTGCCACACACCCTGAGTTGGCGTACACATAACTCAAGGCCACATCCTCCCTGTCGCCCCCCCCAGCACTCCAAGGTGCCAAGAGAAACAAACAAGGGCACAACAAACAACAGACGACAGGAAGTGACATGTGAGGCTAGAGCAGCATGCTCCACCTCTAGCAATCTCTCCGGCCGGCGAGGCATGGGCGAGACCGTATGTGGGGTCTAGTGAGGTGTCTATGGACGCCCTCCTCATGGGCTAGCTGCCTGCGGCTAGCCCTAATCTCGCACTCACGGACAGTGACAATCAAATGGGTGAGTGTTTGCGAGCTGAGGCGCGTGTGCTAATTCTAGGCCGCACGTCGTGGCACTATGACGTAGGTAGACGTGCGACTGCAGCGCGCCCACCACAGTCTCGGTGGGGCGCGTGTTAGCGATAGAGTTGCGGGGAGAGCCATTCCCGACTTTTTGGAGGCGGCCCCCACGCCACGGGTGCCAGCCGTGCCTTCGCGGGAGTCGTCTCCCGAGCCGCGTCCCGTCGGCACCGTCCCCGAGTGGTCCCGCCTTGGCGGCACACACTCTGTGTCACGGGTAACACCTGTGCGTATACGTGTGGGAGTAAGGCCGACGCGTCCGTATGAAGTGGAGGCAGGTGCGGCTGCGCCGCAAGACCTCTCAGCCCGTCAGTCGTGTTGCGTTGCTGCCGCTCAAGAGAAGTCGTGTTGCTGCTGCTCGCTCTCTCAGCGTTGTGTTGCTGCCGCTCGCGCTCTCAGCGCTCTCACATGAAGCCAGACACGCTGCTCTACATCGCGCCTCGGCTGCCTCCCGGCGCACCGCCGCTCGTCATCGACGGCGACCTCTCCAAAGCGGCCTGGGCGGCTGCGCCATGGTCGTCGCCGTTCCAAGAGATCAGAGGCGCCGATGCGCCGGACGGCTCTCAGCCGCCCGCGGCCTGCGTCACGCGGATGAAGATGCTTTGGGACAGCGAGTACCTCTACGTCGGCGCGGAGCTCGCCTCTGACTTTGAGGTTCGGGCCACGTTTACGGAGCGCAACTCGCCCATCTTCCAGCAGGACAGCGACTTTGAGGTGTTTGTCGATGCAGAGGGGTCTTGCCACGCGTACAAGGAGCTCGAGGTCAACGCGCTCAACACGGCGCTGCCGAAGCTGCTGCTCACGCGACAGCCGCGAGGCAGCGCCTCTTCACACCTGGTGGAGCCTGCAGGTGTGGAACCTGCTGCTCACGCGGCCCTATGCGGACGGCGGAGGAGAGCACTCGGGCCGAGTCGCCCAGCCAGGCTCGAGCGAGCACTACGAGGCGCGGCGGCAGACAACGGCAACGCGCGTCTTGCGAGGCCGGCTCAACGCGCCGGAAGGCGCCGCCAGGGCTTTCGAGATGGCTGGCTGAAGCACTCTGTCCGACGGCGTTTGGCTTGCGGTCAGGCGCCGCCTGGGCCGTCGAGATCGCCCTCTGCCACAGCGACACGCTCGCGCGCCAGCCAGGGGCGGTGAAGCCTGCGGTGCGTGGGCGGCGGATGCAGCGCGTTGTGAACAGCGGCTCTTCACGCTGTCTGGGCGTGGGCAGGTGGGGGGCGCGTGGCGGATCAACTTTTCTCGCGTCGAGCGGAAGGGGGAGGTCAACTGGGCGAGGCAGGGGCGGTGGCGTGGTGCGGAAGGTTGAGCGGCGTCGCTTCACGGCTCAAGGCTGTGCACAGGTGTGGCGGCCGCAGGTGGTGTGGGAGCCTCGCAGGAGGCGGTACGAGGGCAAGGTGACTTCCCTGTCGCCTCGCCTCGCCTCGCCTCGCCTCGCCTCGCCTCGCCTCGCCTCCTCTCCTCGCTCCTCGCTCCTCCTGTCCTGTCTCTCCCTCCCTTCGATCTCCTGCCTTCCACCTCCCTCTCTTCGATCTCCTGCAGGTGAACATGCACCTCCCCGATGCGTGGGGTCTCGTCAAGTTCGCGCCGCACGCCGCCGCCGACGCGGGAGAGACCACCCTGCCGGCCGACAGCGGCGCCGTGGCAGGCACCGCCCTCCTCCTCGTTGCTCGACGCAGAGGCGACGGGCGTCTGTTGCCGAGCCCTCACGCGAGTCGAGCTGTGAATAGCGCACGCGGCGGCGATGAGCGTCTACTACGCGCAGCACGCGCACAGGGAGCAGCTCGGCGCCTTCGCGCCTTCCGTCGCGGCGCTGCGAGCCCGCGCGCTCCTCGACGAGCACGAGGGAAGCGCCGGGAGGTGCGAGGTGGAGGTGAGCGCCGAGGCTGGCGCGGCCCCCCCAAAGGCGGGGGAGGCCTTTACTGCATGTGCCCCGGACGCCCAAAGCGGCGTGAGCGTTTCAGTCACGCACGACCGGGGAGTCCGCGTCAAGGGGACTATCATTTAGCCCCCCCCCCCCCCCCAGTCGGCACCGTCTCCGGTCTCTCACTTTTTTATACCTGCATTTTGGAGTTTTCTCGATAATTCTGAAACTACTTGTTGTCGCCCGCTTTAGCCTTTACCCTGTTCTCGACCACACCGGGGACTCCGAACCCGTCCGCGGCCGCGTCCCTCGACCTCTCGCCGAGAAAGCGCGCCCGTCCTTATCTCGGAAGGTCCATAACGAGACATCAGGAACAGCATGGCCCGCGTCCCTGCCGCCCTCGCGCTCTACCAGCTCGTCCAGATCGTTGCGCTGCCCGTGGAGCACCCGGCCCGCCACCTCTCCCTCTCCTGCCACTGCCTCGCCGAGAATGTGGACGGGTCGGACGCCGTGCTGTGCCCAATGTGCGCTGAGCCCTGGCCTCCTGCTCCTCCTCAAAGCCCTCGAAAGCACTCTCTCCACGCCGCTCTAGGTGCGTCGCAAAGCACTGCCCGGGAGTCGACGCCAACGTGCATTGCACCAACCCGCTGTACGAGGACTTTGACACGACCAAGAAGCAGGAATGCGCCGGCAGCGTGACGGGGCTCAAGGACCGCAACTCCGCCGAGAAGTGTCGCGCCTCTTGCCTCGATCACGCCAAGGACAACGGCTACTCTGGCGACTTTTGCTGCCAGTACAAGAGCGACGGTGACAAGTGCCGCGTGGCAGAGGATGGGAGCACGGCGCTGAGCGGCAACAAGAAGTGGAACGCCTTTGTCTTCCACCCTTCCTTGTCGACCTCGCCTTCGCCTTCGCCGTCGCCGTCGCCGTCGCCATCTCCGTCTCCGTCGCCCTCGCCATCTCCGTCTCCGTCGCCCTCGCCAAGCCCCTCTCCGCCTCCGCCGGCGGAGACATCGGTCGAGACGCCCGCGGGGTCCCTCGTCTCACACTACTGGGACTGCTGCCAGTTTGCGTGCTCGGCCTCGCCCAACACCAACCCGGTCTTTACGTGCGACGCGGACGGCTCCAACCCCCACGCCAGCTGCTACGGCACCCTCTCCACCTGCGAGGGCGGCACCGGCGCCGCGTGCACCTCGTACGCGCCCTTTGTCGAGGGCGACACGCTGTACGGCCTCGCCGCCGTCTCTGCTGGGCTGAGCGGCGCGATGGATCAGTGCAACCAGTGCTACTCGATGGAGCTGACCAACTCGAACAGCGCGGCGGTGAGCAAGATGGTGGTCATGGTGACCAACACTGGCGATCTGAAGAGCGGCTTCGCCTTTGACCTCCTCGTCCCAGGCGGCGGCTTTGGCGAGTTTACGGGTTGCTCGCAGATGGCTGGCTGGGACGTCTACTCGGCGGAGGGCGGCGGCTGCTCCGCCGACAGCGATACGGCCAGCTGTGCGCGGTATGGTGGGTTCTACACTTCGGACCTCTGCGCCAAGGCGTTCCCCGGCGACACCACCGCCTCGGCCGCCTGCCACGACGTCCTCTTTGGCGTCTTTCCGCCGCAGGATCTGCCCGCGAGCTGCCCAGGTACCTACGACCCGGCCCGGGCGGCGGAGTGCCCAATGTTTCGCGACAACCTCGAGGTTGCCAACGTGGTGCCGGTCGAGTGCCCCGCGCAGCTCACCGGGGCCGTCTCCACCTGCGAGGCGTGCGGTTCGAGCGGCTTTGACTGCGGCGCCATTTGCGGCGAGCCCTACGACCAGTGCAGCTGCGGCGCGCTGCAGGATATGTGCCCGCAGTGAGCGCGCACAAGAGCGACGTAGAAGAGGGCGGGAAGTGTCGACTATTGTGTGTAGTAGTGCCCGCCTCCATTTACCCTTCGGTCCATTCAGCTCGCAGCTCGCCACCGTGTCGTCCCTGGCGTCGTCGGTTGAAGGCAAGAGAGTAAACGACCTTTCTCAAAACAGCTGTCAGATGGGCTCCTGCAGGGTGGCGCGCGGACCGTCGCGTGTTGTCGAAGTTGAAGCCGCCGAGGCCGAGCGCCTCGTGGAGCGGCGCCGAGCTGGGCAGCATTGCGGCCGCCGAGACAGGCTAGAAAAAGAATCGACGACCTTACGGAAAAGAAATCCAGCAAAAAGAGAAAATCCCGCTCGTAACGGCCTCGTTCCAGACGCCGACAAGGGCGCTCTGTGGCTCGCAGTGAGGTCAAGCAATCGCGCTGGAGGTAGCTCGCACAAGCAAGCGCAACCAGAACCGAACATGCCCCTCTTCTGCTCTCGCCCTTCGACGAGGACGCGCGTCCGCAGCGAGCCTCTCGCGGCCGCCCTCAAAGAGCAGGATGAGCGGATCAAGGAGCTCGAAGCGGAGGTGGCAGCCCTCGGCCGTGCAGTGCACCTCACCAGCGACGTGTCACAGGGGGAGCAAGCGGTTCGAACCGTGCACCCCGCCAGCGACGTGTCACAGGGGGAGCAAGCGGTTCGAACCGTGCACCCCGCCAGCGACGTGTCACAGGGGGAGCAAGCGGTTCGAACCGTGCACCCCGCCAGCGGTGCGTCACAGGGGGAGCAAGCGGTTCGAACCTCCATGGTGGACGACCGCTCCTCTGCTCTCGAGGGCGACGCGCCCAAGGAGCGGCTCGAGGCGCTCACTACAGCCTACCAGCGGCTGCTGCAGGAGGAATCGGCAAACCTCTCGGCTATCAGCCGCTCCTCCCTCGTCGCCATGTCGCGCGACGGCCTCAATGGCTGCTCGCGGGCCGACGCAGAGCCATGCGACGTCTTCGACTGTCACTTGACCGGCCTCATCGACTCGCAGGACCTCCCCACGCTGCGCATTGCCCTGCTCGACGCGGCTGGAGGTGGCGGCGGCGGAGCGGGGAGGGACTTTGACGCGGACGACCCCTCGACCTGGTGCGACGACCGGCTGCGGCGCCTCGACGCAGACTCGCTCGTGGCGCTGCGTCGCACGCTGGGCGGCGGCGCTGGCGCGGGCCTGCCCATCAACCAGCCGCTCTCGATCATCTCCCTTTTGGACGAGCAGGGCCAGCCTCGGCACGGCGGGCAGGACATCTCGACCTTCTTCTTCCCGTTCGACAAGCACGCGCTGACCCACTCCAAGGACGCCATCAACGACTTCGTCCTGCTCGCCTCCGCCTTTGACTCGCCCACTCCGCACAACAGCAGGGAGCGCCTCGCGGCGCTGCGGGAGCACCTCTGGCCCAAGGAGGCCTCGCCCATGCACACGCTGCGCGTGTCGCCGCTGCACTGCCTCACGCTCCCAGACGCCGCGCGGGCGCGCGCCGGCATCCCGACGCACGCCGCCTTTTACGCGTTCTGCCACCCTCCCGACGCGTCTTCCGAGGCGGAGGGTAGCTCGGTGACGGCTAAGGCGGCGGAGGAGGCGGCGGCGGTGGAGCGGACCGCGACGAAGGTTGTGCCGGGGCTGGCTGCGTCGGACCCGCTCGTCGCCTGGCTGCTGACGGGGGCGTACGTCTACTTTGACTACAAGTACGACATCGTCGCCGTCAACGCCATCTCCTTCTCGCCGGAGGGCGGCAGCTCCGCCCTCTTCCTCGGGCCGGCCTGCCCGCTGCCCGCGACGGCGATCGAGCCGCTCTTCGACGGGCAGCGGTGGCGGCGGCTCCCGGCGGCGGTGGCGGCGGCGGGGCTCGGCTTTGCTCGGATGGCGTGGGTCACTCCGTCGGAGTTCCTCGGCGACACGATCTACTCCAAGTCGGGCGGGCTCGCGCTGCTGCACGAGGACGACATCGACCGCCTCGAGGACGTGTCCAAGGACGGCCGCTTCGACGTGGTGCGCACGACGCGCAAGGGCAGGTCGCGCTACTTCCCCATCGTGCGCAACGAGCCCCTGCTGGAGCACCCCACCATCCGGCTCCGGGAGGGCGGCAAGTCTAAGCCTCTCGCCGTCAAGCGCGCGCTGCTGCACGCGTGGCCTCCCGAGGACGGCCTCGCCGCGGTGCGCCACTTCGCGAGCACCTTTGCCGACGCGCGGATGCGGCCGACGCCGTACATCGCGCCTCTCTTCATCCACGAGATCTCGAGCCAGCGCGGCGCGGCCGTGGGCGCCGCGCGGTCGGCAAAGTTCATCGAGCCGACGCAGGCAACGTTCGACGAGGGGCGCAGCGCGGCGGTCGGGCTCGAGAAGGCGCTCGTCAAGGAGGGGTTCGACTTCGACGCGCGGTGTGACCTCCTCGGCGTCACCGAGAAGGCGGCGCTCGAGAAGTGGTCGAGCAGAGGGCTCCAGGACGGCAGGGACGCGCGCTGGCTCGAGGCGGTGCGCGCCGAGACCATGCGGCTCGTCGCCACGCAGGGGGGGGAGGGGGCGGCGGGCGAGGGCGACGCGGCGCCGCTGTCCCTTGAGGCGCTGCACCGGGCGGTGCCGTCGGCCCTCTGGCTGGCGGCGCCGGGCGGCGAGGCGGCGGCTGTGGCGAGCGAGGCGCGTGCCGGTGCGCGGGCTGCTGCCCTCGACGGGCGGTGTGGACGCATCCTCGACACGTCCCTCTCTAGGCGGAGGCATTGCTGCGCGAGCTGAGGCGGAACGTGGAGTACGTCCTCGACGAGGAGGCGCGCGAGGAGAAGGCGCGCGCGGCACGCCCGGGTGCGGGGTTTGGGGCCCGAGCGTGGGGTTGAGGTTGCCCCCGCTGCGGCCGGCAGGTGAGCGGCAACGACGCGGCGGGGAGCGCGGTGCTGCGCGATGCGGGCAACTTGAATAAGAGGCTGGCCGATTTTGTGGCGATGACGCCGGCGCGCGTCGCGGAGCTCACTTGGAGTGAGGTGGCGGCGCTGCGGCTCTACACGTCGTCGACGTTCCGGCTGATCAACGGCCCGCTGCGCGCAAAGCTGAAGCCGCACCCGCTGGCCGCGACGGCGATGCTCGTCTCGAACGCGCTCAAGAAGATGCGCGCCAACCACATGGACGCGGTGGCGAAGTTCCGGCCGACCTTCTTGTGGCGCGGCATGCGGGACATGGCCGTGGAGGAGAACTTTTTGCTGCAGGGCGGCACCGAGCTCGCCTGCATGAGCAGTTCGGCGAGCCTGGCGGTGGTGGGCGCGTACGCCGCCTCCTGCACGCCGCTCCTCTTCCGGATCAAGGTGGACTCGCCGATGGAGCAGGGGGCCGACGTGAGCTGGGTGTCGCTCTACCCGGGCGAGGCCGAGTACCTCTACCCTCCCCTCACCTTTGTCAAGCCGCTTTTCGTGCAGGACATCAAGGACGTGGACAAGGGCCGCGTGGTGACTGTGAAGCCGTCCTTCCCGAGCTGAGGGAGGCGCTGTGGCGACGGGCGGCTCTTGCCGAACGACTCGGCGGTTGAGCGTGGCCGCGTGTTGAGTGCGCTGAGCGGCGATGCGCCCGCGCCTTGGCGGCGTGTGGAGCGGCTAGCGCCCGTCCCGCCGACGGAGGCTGTCCGCCGTCGTTTTCGCGCAACGCGAGGGGGTGTTATTATGGATCAGCAGAGAAGAGAGAAATAAATATGAGAATTTTGAGAATATGTGGCAATATATATCTCGAGGGCGCGAGAGAGGCGGCCGCGTCCCCGGCCTCCGTACCGCGAGCCCCCGCGAGGGCCTCTCCGGCCCGAGTCCCCGACACGCAGGTCGTGTGCCACTCGTGCCAGGTCGCAGCGCGTCCGCGCGTGACACCCCGCGTGTGACACACCAGGCGCGTATAGGTGTGTGCCGCCGCCAGTCGCGAACCCTGGGTCAAAAGGATTCTTTTCTTCGCTCTCGCCCGCTCACCGCCACCCCGCCCCCCGGCCGCCGAGAGCAGAGCCAGAGGAGCGGTCGTCCACCGCGGAGGTGCGAACCGCTTGCTGTTGCTCCCCCTGTGACACGTCGCTGGCGCGGGTGCACTGCACGGCCGAGGGCTGCCACCTCCGCTTCAGGCTCCTTGATCCGCTCATCCTGCTCTTTGAGGGCGGCCGCGAGAGGCTCGCTGCGGACGCGCGTCCGTCCTCGTCGAAGGGCGAGAGCAGAAGAGGGGCATGTTCGGTTCTGGTTGCGCTTGCTTGTGCGAGCTACCTCCAGCGCGAGTGCTTGACCTCCACTGCGAGCCACTGAGCGCCCTTGTCGGCGTCTGGAACGAGGCCGTTACGAGCGGGATTTTCTCTTTTTGCTGGATTTCTTTTCCGTCACGCTGTCGATTCTTTTTCTAGCCTGTCTCGGCGGCCGCAATGCTGCCCAGCTCGGCGCCGCTCCACGAGGCGCTCGGCCTCGGCGGCTTCAACTTCGACAACACGCGACGGTCCGCGCGCCACCCTGCAGGAGACAGCCTAGATCTGCCAGCAGTGGTGCTGACTGCTGGCGCTCTGACGTCGCAGGAACCAGGTCCTGGGTGCGCAGGGTGTCGCTGCGCCGCGGGTGAAAAAGACGGGCACCACGATTGTCGGCGTCGTCTACAAGGCTCGCCGCTCGCGCGCTGTATCTCGCGCGCGCCGGCTTGCGCCCATCTCCCGCGCCTCTGCCGCCGCAGGACGGTGTGGTTCTCGGCGCAGACACGCGCGCGACTGAGGGAGAGACGGTGTGCGACAAGAACTGCGAGAAGATCCACTACATTGCGGACAATATCTGGTGCTGCGGCGCCGGCACCTCCGCCGACACCGAGGCGACCACGCAGCTCGTCTCGTCGCAGATTGAGCTGCACCGGCTTGCGACTGGCAAGGTGCCCCCTCTCCTCCTCAACGCCTTCCCTCTCGCCTCCCGCCCGCTATGCTCCCGCCGCCGCCCTCGTGCTCGGCTCCGCTCTGACCGCAGCCCTGCCTCCTCCAGGCGCCGCGCACCATCACCGCGCTCACGATGCTCAAGCGCAAGCTGTTTCAGTACCAGGGCAACATCTCTGCCGCGCTCGTGCTGGGCGGCTTCGACTGCAACGGGCCCTCCCTGTACACCGTCTACCCGCACGGCTCCACCGACTCGCTGCCCTACGTCACGATGGGCTCCGGCTCGCTCGCTGCGATGGCGCGCTGCGCCGCCCTCTCCCTCCTCCTGCCCGCCACTGCCACCGCCGCCGCTGCCACCGCCGCCATAGCCACCGCCGACGCGTCCCGCTGCCGTCGGCCCATCGCCCTCGACGCTTCCACCACGCACCCACATAGCCGCTGCCCTCCGTCACCCCTCCGCCGCCGCCCCTCCCTCACCTCGCGCCCCTTTGCTCCGCCTCCCCAGGCCGTCTTCGAGGCGGAGTACAAGGATGCCATGAGCGTGGAGGAGGCGAAGGCGCTGGTGCAGGCGGCCATCATGAGCGGCATCAACAACGACCTCGGCTCGGGCGGGTCCGTCGACATGCTCGTCATCAACAAGGACGGGAACACCGTGCTGCGCAACGTTGTCCGGCCAAACGAGCGCAAGTTCCGAAAGGTGCGGCGTCTGCCGCTCCCCCGTCTCTCTCTCTGCCGGTTCTCTCTCTCTCTCTCCTCCCTCTGTCTCTCCCGCCTCTCTCCCCCTCCCCGCTGCCGCTCCCCGCTCCCCCACCCCGCTCCACCGCCTCCCTCCCCGCCGCTCCCTCAGCACGTCCTCTCCTGCCGCCCCTCTCACGCCCCTCCCCTCCCGGCCGCACCAGGCGGGCGGCTACTCCTTCCCAAAGGGGACGGCCAAGGTGCTGACGCAAACCTTCACGCCGCTCTCCTCCCTCCCCATCGACGTGACCACCACGCGCTCGCCAGCAGCCATGGAGGTCGGATAACCCGGCTGCGCCCGCGCCAAGGAAGAGCCACCCTCCCCTCGCGCCTCTGCTGAGGTCGCTCCCTCGCCGCTCCCCCCACCCGTTGGGCTCGCGCCGTGCTCGGGCCGGGTACGCACGCCACGGACACGCGCGCGTGGCGGTCTCGGTTTGGGGAGGCGGAGGCGGCGCGCGAGCTCTAGCGCGGGGTCAGCGGGGAGCCGTGCCCGCGCCGCCGCGGCCGCGCGGGGCTCGCTCGGTCATCTCCTTCACATTCGATTTCACCTTCCTTGTTTTGCACGTTTTCGACGTTGGGGGCTCACAACGGACTCTCCGCCCTATTGGCAAGTGTTACATCGCATTTCTTGTACAATAACACGGGCTGAAGAAGATACCACTGCACCGCGCACACACACGGGTACGTGAAAGACAAGCGGGATCTGACACAGGTGCGGTGCGGCGGGCTCTCAGCGTCGCTCTCTCTTCTTTGGAGGCGCGGCCGCGCCGGACGTACGAGGGGAGGGGTGTCCCTCGGACGGGGCCTCGAGCCCGCGCGCTGGGCGCGAGCAACAGAGAGCCACCGGCGAGGCAAGTGGGTGGCATGGGGCATGGGAAGTAAGTTCGACGAGGGGGGCTCATATGCTGCCGCCCTCCGAGACGGACGAGCAGTAGGCGCTCCAAAAGACGGAGTTGACCGACACCCAGAGGACGTGGTAGGGCGGCGGCACCACCGTGAAGGTGAGCGCGTGCACCGCCGTCCACGCCACCACGTTCGCTCGCAAGGTGGGCGCGAGGTGCTCCGAGCAGACGGCCTGCCGCAAGGCGTCGTGCGGCGTCGCGGCGCGGCCCTGGAAAAGGTCCGTCCAGGCGAAGAAGCCGACGAGGACGGGCGCGTACGCGACGTGGTCGAGCGCGATCTTGAGCCCCACCGCGTGCATCGGATTCCGCAGCACAACCGCCCTCTCCAGCCAGTTGTACCAAAAGTGGTTGAACGGCCCTGCGCAGACGCCGCCCCAGCCAGCCATCACCGCGGTGCGGCGCAAGTCGCAGCCGCCGCCGCCGGAGGAGGAGGAGGGGCCGGCGGAGGAGGCCTCGGCGCGCGGCGCGGACGCGACGGACTGCGCCAGGAGGTCTCCGATGGCTGCAAGCACCGCCGTGGTAACTGCTCTCGTCAGCAGCGGCCGCTCGGTGTTTGCTCTCGCGTACGCGTCGGCGGCGCGGTGGACAGAGGAGGGCACGGCCGAGCGGGCGCGAAGCCCGAGCATGTAGGACGCGCCCGCCGCCGCCGACGCCAGCTGCAGCGCATACCTGTACTCGTGCGGCGTCTCGGAGACCACGTAACCGTGCGGCGCCCACGGCGGCTGCGCGCCAGTCGCCTTGCGGCGAAGCGGCGCGCGAAATGGGCGGCCACGGCGCGTGGTTGGCTGCCGAGGGATGCCGCCGCGGATGAGGCGCGTGACGTTTGAGTTTCTATTCAACATGAATCTAGAGCCCGGGAAGGTGTTCGTCGAAGGAGTCGGGATGTTGATGTGCGGCCTTGTTTTCCCAGAAAAGAATTTCGCAGAAAATTCGCGCTTTTTTTTCTTTGGAGCTTGTGTGGCGCTGCACGCCTCCGAGCGGGGGCGGGGTCTGCCCGTCGGGTTGCTGCCCTAATCCCACCAGGGGTTGAATGCTCTATTTATTTAGGGGCTGCTCCTGAATTTGGAACCGTCCTTAGGTCTGCTGAAAGAACTTGAAACGCGGAAACCTAAGATAAAAGAAACGCAACACGGACGTAACGGCGCAGCCAGCACGGGAGGCGAGAGAGAGAGCCGCCTCTGCCTGCGAAAATGCGCTCCGCCCCTCCGGAGCACCTCGCCTGCGCCGCGCTGCTCGCGGCGGCCGGCTGCGCGATCGCCGCCGCCCGTCGGAGGACGGAGCGGCGAGAGCGGCAGGTGCGGCTCGTGCGGGCCTGCAGGGCGGCGGACGCCGGGGCGGTGGCGGTGCAGCTCCGTTCGGGCGCAGATCCCAACGCCGAGGACACCCAGGGCTGCCTGCCGCTGGTGGCGGCGGCATCGTGCGGCCGCCTGGACGCCGTTCGCGAGCTCCTCCGCGCGGGCGCCGACATCAATGCGCTCGACGCCGGCGGGGTGGGCTGCTGCGCCTTGTTTGCGGCCTGCATGCGCGGCCACCTTCGCGTCGTGGAGGAGCTGTGCGCGCGCGGCGCGTCTCGCGACGCGCACAAGGCGGGCCATTGGAGCGATCTCGACCTGCATCTGGCGGTGGAGGAGGAGCTGAGGGACCTCCGAGCGGCAGAGGAGGGGCAGCAGTCGCTGGCGTTCCATCCAAGCACCGTGTCCGTCAGCGCGGTGCTGGAGTGGCTGCGCACGAACCCGGTGCCGCGTGGGCTCAAATGACATCCCGCGAGAGCTATTCGCCCACAGCTCTGACCTCTGAGCTCGACCGAGTCCGAGAGGAGTCGCAGCATGCGCGATGGATCCCGCGCCCGCCGCGCCACTGCGAGAGCCAGGCGTGGCGTTGTCGTTGGCAGTTTCCAGGGTTCGGGCTCCTTGCCGTCTAGGGGGTCTAGGCATCCCAAAACTCGCGAAAAATCGGCCCGCAAGGTCCGCGCGAGGCTCGCACGGCAGTCCACAGAGGCGGCGAGACGAGGCACGAGCGGGGCGGAGCACGGGACGTTGCGGAGATCAGCTCAGGAGGATGTACGAACTACGATCTACGAAGAGATTAGGAGCAGCAGGGACCCGAGGGACCATGTGGAAGACGGCTAGTGCTAGTCCCCCATCGGGAGGACGACCCCGGCTAGTCGCCGACCACACCCACAAAGAACCCTGCACAAAGATCGCAAGGGCGGGGACCTGTTCCTTTTCACCCATCTCACACTACACTCTACAGTTGGTTTTTTTATTTATTTATTTTAAGGCTCGAGGTACGAGGATACACCCTACCACGTACCCCTCTAAATCTGGAGCCGTCGCGGGGCGGTTACTGGCCCGCCCCACGGCTTTACCTACCTATGAGCTATGTGTCAACACCCGTCCCAACCCGGAGGTCTTTTGCCCGGGCAGACCCCCGTAGACGGCAAGGAGACGAACCCACCCCGCCGCTTCGCTCCGCTCCCCACGCTCCACGAAACGGCACGAATGGCGCTGCAGTCGCCGCTCTACACCCTCGCAGCCCTGCCTTGGCTCGTGCTCTCTCCCCTCAACGTGATCAAGCTGCTCCTCAACACCGTCTCTCCGACCGCCCACCTCTGGGTAGCGCCATTCGCAGATGCTCGTGGCGGTGGCGCTCCGCGGCCGACCAACCGTCCGCCTGCCGCAGGTGCCCAAGGAGACGGAACAGTGCCAGGCCGGCTGCGGCATCGCGCGGATGTGGGCCACACTCTTCTGGTCGCAGCAGTTCTGCTGGGCCTGCGCGCTGCTGTACACGCGGCACGCGCCGCACCAGGAGGGGCTCATTCTCTTCGGCGCCGTCACCAAACTCATGGTGGCTTGCCTCCTCCTCAACGGGCGCACAACTCCTCCGAGACGCCTCGAGACCGCCTACCCAACGCCACGTCCGAGCACATTCTCTCTCTCTCTCTCTCTCTCTCTCTCTCTCTCTCTCTCTCTCTCTCTCTCTCTCTCTCCGCTTCGCTCCCCAGAATCGGCGCCGCCGCCGCCCTCCTCCCCTGCTGCCTGCCGGCCTGCGCCTGCAGCCGCAGCTCGCTGCCGCCCTCCGCCACCGTAGGTACATGAGCGGTGTGGTGCACTGGCCCATTGGCCAGGCGTCGACGCACGCAGGCGGCAGCCCCTGCACTAGGCTAGCGCTCTTCACAGCACTAGGCGTGAATAGGCCGCCGCCGCGTGGGAGGGCGTCTTTGCGCTGCTGATGCTGCTCGACGTGCGATCCGCACAGATGCGCCGCCCGCGCAAGGAGCGCTAGCTGCGTGCAGAGGACAGGAGAGGCGCGGGGTGTGCTGCGCACGTTAGGAGAGATTATAGACGATTAGAAAAAATACTGACGTATGTAGTATCATGGAAACCCCACAAAAAGAAGCGGCGACGGCGCACCGGAACGCCCCCCGTGCTCGTCAAGCCTCCACGCCGGGGGCTCGCGCGTCGCGGCGGGGCGCCTCGCGGGGCCGGGGGGGCTGCGGGGGCTCCTGCCTCCTCCACCGACCACCGACTTCTCCATCGGCACCGCTCCACCTCCAGCTCCACGGCGCCACGCAGAGCCAGAGGGGCGCAGCCGCAGGGCGAAGGCCTCGCCGGCCGCCCCGCGCCCGGGGGAACATAATCGGCAACACATAAGTGCAAAGAGGAGACCCCACGCGTCGACTGGCGGAACGGGGTGGCGGCAATGTGGGCGAGCATCGGTCCGTGCGGCTTGGACGTGGTAGCAATTCAGGCAGAGCGTAGATGCGCTTGGGCGCTGATGGCCGCGTCTGTCGTTTCACCTCTTGGACTTGCTGCGACGTCTCTGCGCCTTTCGCTCCGCCGCGCTGCCGCGCCCCGCCGCCCGCTGTCCGCCCGTCCCCACCGCGAAGCCGGCCGCCGGCCCGGCGCCTGCGACGAGGCTAGCGAGCGGTACGCGCCTGCGAAGGAGCTCTTCGCGGGCGATGCCGTCGGCAGGGACGGGGTCGTCGCCCACCGCGACCGTCATGTGCGCGCTGAGGGCTTCGAAGAGCGACTCGGGCCCCTCGCCGGTGCCGCGCTTCTCTCCCCACCAGGGCCTGCCCACCACGGCATACAGCAGCTGCTGGTCCGCGTCGGAACGGTTCGGGAGCCAGCGGCGCCACAAACGGTAGTCGACGACGACGGCGTCGCCGGCACGCGCGAGCAGCGTAGACCTTCGCTGTACTGTGGCGGCTGAAGGCGACGCGCACTGCCGTAGCACCTGGCGATTAATGGCAACGATGGTAAAGGTCGCAAAAAGGCGGCAGCTTGAGGAGGCAGTGTCGGGGGGGCAGTGTAGAAAGGCAGAAGTGTTGACGGAGGCGGAGGCCGTTGGTTGGACGCACCTCGCGCACCCTGTCGGCCGACTCGCTCCAAGTAAGCGGCTGCCCTTGCCAATCTGGTGCCTGCGCCACAGACGCCACAAGTGCCTCCCAGTCGTCCGCCACCTGTTGGTGCGCCGCGGCGACTGGCAAAGCTGCGAGCGGCGGCGGCCGCCGCGCCTCGCCTCTCCCCGCGGCATCAATGAGAGCCTCGACGATCCCCGCGCCTCCGTCCGCCTGCTTCAGGTGGTCAATTACCTCTCCCACGCTGAGCCCCTCGGTGCCGAGCGGCCGGAGCATGCCGAAAGATGCAGCGGAGGCTGCGCCGCCGTCCGCGCCGAGCCCGCCTTTTGGACGCTCACCGCCCCGATACTCGCGCCCTGGCACGTGCGACCCGCGAGCGAACTCGGCTGGCCCTGAGAGCGGCGCCGGTGGGAGCAGTGGGGGTGAGGGCGTCGAAGGGAGAGAACGGAGAGGCGGGAGCGGCAAGGCGAGCCGCGAGGAGCGAGGCAGTGGATGATGGAGCGGTGAGGTTGGCAAAGAGGCAGCGGCGGAGAGTAGTGAGGGCAGCTGTGACCGTTCTCCGGTGTCAGGTCATTGAGCGGCACGTAGCAGGTCAACGCATACGGAGGGAGGGGGACGTCGACGTCGAAGAGGTGCGTGCCTTCCGCGCGCCAGGGAGACGCCTCCGGGTTACCGCCGCCCTCGCCCCTCCCCTCAAGCTCAGACCACTCACTCCACGACGATGATGACATCGCAACGAGCGTCCCGGCGGCAAGACACTCGGCGTCGTCGCCTACGACGGGCCAGGGGCGGGACACGCCGATGCAGGATTGGGTAAGAGTTCTGCGACAAGCCGCCGGGACAGGGCGAGGCGGTGGCAGCTGGACACCGAGCGCTGCAAGGAGGAGGTTGCGCAGGGGCTCGGCGGAGAGGACTGCTCGGACTAGAACCCCAGTCGTCCGCTGCTTGACCTCGATCCGTCGTCCCTCCTGCTCGACCACCTCTGCGTACCTGTGGCCGTGCGGACAAGACACCGACAGATGATTAGCGCGCCGAGACACAGGCCGATGATGTCGAAGATCGCTGTGGGGATGCTTGGCGGCGCGAGTGGAAGGCGGTGGACTAGTGGCGTGCGTGGTTAGAGCAGGGATTGGTCGTTCGCACCGTGGCGGCGCCGGCTTCCCCGCAACCACCTGCCGGAGGAGGAGGTGGCGGAGGACGGACTGGCAGCGGTCACCAGCCATGTCCCTGCACCACGACAGCACCTCCGGTGCCAGCACGCCCGGCAGGTGGCAGACGCCGCTCTCGAGCAGTTCGGCAGTCGGGGCCGACATCCATAACGACGCGTTGCGATATCGGGGCCGTCCACGGGCAACCGAAACGCGGCCCGTCCTGTTCACAGCCTTGTTATTGAGAAGAAAATACCTCCTATGGCGCTGTGCGCTGGCCTGTGAGAGGTTGAGGTGCGAGCCCTGGAGATTCACAGCCTTGTTATTGTTTTAGGTGTATTGTTGGCAGACAAGACTCACAGAGCTCACACAGAATCACAGCGGGAGGAAAGCGGCGAGTCGCAATTCCAGGGGTCGTTGTGGCGGGCCACCCTGTCCAGAGAGGCATGGATGCCAATCTGGGGTCTCTCGACCGAGTCTGATTTCGCCTCGCCGCCTCCCGGTGGTGGCTGTAGAGCCAAAGCGGCGGAGATGGCGGGGGAGGGCGGGGGATCGAGGAAAGCACGACTCGCACCGACCCTTCACGAACCGAAAGGCTGCACCCGGGGAAGGCACAGTAATCCGGGCACGTGTTGGGCGCCCCGTTCCGTCTGGGGCTAGGTCGGCTCAGGGCCCCGTCCACTTCCCTCCCACTTGGCGCGTGATAATGGGGAGATGCCACCCAGGCCAGCCAGGGCAGGGGCGGGGGCGAGGGCGGAGGGCGGGATGGGCGCCAAGCGGGAGGGAGCGAACGGAGTGGAACGCACAGATGGGGGATGGCGAGGGCGGAAGGGCGGGGAGCGGGGAGGACGGCGGGAGGGTGGAAGTCGGCATGGGCGGGCGGTGGGTGGTTTGGTAGGGCGGGGGGGAGGGCGAGGGGTGGAGTAGGGGGGCGGTGGGGGCTTGTTATTGAGAAGAAAATACGTCGTATGGCGCTGTTCACAAGTAGGTCGCCCCTCATTGTTCATTGCCTGCAAAAAAAGCGCGGTCTCGCTTTGGTCGCGAGAATTCTTCCCTCCGCCAACTCCGACACTAACTAGGGGGTTGCATCAGAGGGGGGGGGGTCTGAGGCAAGGGGGCCCAGATCTGCTCGTCTCAGAGGGTACCCTCTGTGCCAAGAGAGGCCATCCACGAGCGGCTCAGAGGGTGCCTGGGCCGACCCTCTGAAGGCCTGTGCCGCCAAGCCAGCCTCTCTCGGCGCAGCCTCTGAGGCTAGTGTACGGGGACCCTCTGAGACGCCAAGGCAAGCCCCGCGAGGCCGCTCCTCAGAGGGAGTTTTCAGCGGTATTTCAAGTCTGTCGTGATCCCCCACCAAGCAGAGAGAACCCCCCCCAGCAGGCCCAGCTTCCATTGCGCATTGGTTTCGGATACCTCAAGTTCGAGTTCACTAGGACGCCGCGGCGCCTCATGGCCAAGCTGGAGCAGGGGACGGATGTGGAGATCACTACCTCCTCCTCGGGCGGCCGCTCCAAGCACATCCTCACTCAAGTTGACGGGTCGGCGGCGCCGCTGGCCGCGCGAAGCTGTCGCGCAGGGGTCGGCGCGGGCGCTGTGGGCGAGCCTGCAGCAGCAGCAAGCGTGTGTGGTGCCGGGCGCTCGAAGCGTAGAGTAGCGCCTTAGTCATGCTCGCTGCTTCCGCCCCCTCCCCGCCCTCCCTGGTCAGCGCCGTTCGTGGAGGGCTAGGCGCTCCGGCCTCCGCCCGGGGCTCTCTCTCGCCTCTGTCTGCCGAGAGGGGGCTACCCTCTGAGGTCAACGCCCTCTGTGCCGCGCCAAGACAGACCCTCGGCCGGGGACCCTCTGAGGCCAAAATCAGCCAAGAGAGGCCACAGAGGCGGCACAGAGTCAGAGTCAAACCCTCTGTGCCGCCAAGCCAGGGGTCCGACCCCTCCTCAGAGGGGGGTCTGAGGCCTCAGAGCGTGTACAACCCCCTACTCCGACTGAAGAGAGAGGTCTCCCGCCGTTGCAACTGCCATGTCACGGCCGGTCGGCTGCAGCTCTCGCCTCGCTGGCGGCGCGGTCTGGTGCCGCGGCGCCCAGCTCTCCTGTGGGCTCGCGGCGGCTCGCCGCCGCGGTGCCGAACAATGTGATCAGTCTGGATTCGTCCCGGCGTGCCGCCGGTGCCGCTTCCTCGCCAATTTTTGGCTCGACCAGTTTGTCGACAAAGTTGCCTCCGAGCTCCTGCTGCTCGACTACGCGGCAGAACCGGCCCATCGCGGCTGAGACGTGATGCGCCGGCAACGGGGCAACGGCGCGGGACCATTTCCAGGCTCTCTCGAGCAACCTCAAATTTGGCCGATTTTGTGGATCTCAACCCTGCTGCTCTCTGACCACAACCTCGCGGCCCGCTGCGCGGCTCTCCGAGCGCGAGAGGAGTCGTCTACGAGGCGGCGGCGAGCGCAGGCGGCGGCGGCGCGGCGGCGCGGCGGCGGATCGCGGCGCAGACAACGGCAGGAATCTGCGGCAGGCTGCTGCCTGCTGCTACAGCAGCCGCTGCTGCTGCTGCTGCTCCGCCGCTGCCGATTGCGCTCGAGTGCTCCTCTCGCTGCCTACTCGCTGCCTCGAGGGAGGAGGGGAAGATGTCGAGCTGAGCTTGCCTCGCTTGTACCGAGGCCCCTCCCCGAAAGGCAAGTCTTAGCCACATGAAATCCGAGACCCCTCCCCACCGCCCCGATCCCCCCACCCCCTTGCTCCCCTCCCCCCCTCGGGAGGGCCGAACTGAGGCGCCCGAGGGGACCCCGCAATTCCCTTCCCCCCTCGGAGGGCCGGACTGAGGCGTCGAGGGCCCCACTCTTTCCTTCGCATAGCGGCCACTCTTCGGATCGCTGGTCGAGCGACCCGGGGGATGCCCCGCGCGCCTGACCCAGGCGCGGAAACGAATCTGCGAGGCGTGGCCGCTCATGCGGCCCGATGGGGAGGAGGGGAAGACGTAGGGCGTGCTTGCGCGCCTTTCCGAGGCCCCTCCAACCCACCCGCGCTAGGTCTCGGGTTTGACGCATGGGGTCACTCCCGCGAAACTCGGGAACTAGCCGGGGCAGTCGGAGAAGGGGCAACTCCGTGCACTGACGGTCGGCCGTCAGAAAACACGCCTCCGTGGCTCGGGTTACACCAATCCTCGCTACCGGAGGGCGCCTGGGTCTAAATTTAGTGCGGTGTGAAGTGTTTATCTACTGCATCTTTAGCGCACTTTAGCGCAAATTTAGCGCGAATTTAGCGCAACTTTAGTGCAAATTTAGCGCAAATTTAGCGCAAATTTAGTGCGACTTTACATCCAGATTTAGCGAGGTTTAGTGCGTCTTTAGTCCAGCCGCGCAGTAGGATCCAGCCGCAGCCCCTCGCTGGGCCTCCCTCCCCCTGTCCCCCTGCAGTCCCCTGCCCACTCGCAAAAGTTCCCCGTCCCGTCCCCAACCGAACGAAGAAAACCCGGTGTATTTGCCATTGCACTTAGTTAGGAGGAGGTGCATGCCTGGGGCTGGATCCAACATGCTACGAGTACACGCGTATGTAAAGCTGCTTGCGGTGACTACATGGATCATGGCCATTTGGCCGTTTCTGTCATCGTGGTCTGGATCCTTCATCCTTTGGTTCAACATTGGTTTTGAAATTCCAACACCGACCCTCACCTCTACTCTATTACAGCTGGTGGTCACGGGCACAGCATGGGTTGTGCGGTCGGAGGTGGTGCTTGCGGTGGCGCATTCAACTGTGCTGGTCCTCCTCTCGGGAATCGGTGCTGTGCCTGTGCTCAGTCGGGAGATCTTGCTCTGGAGGGCGGCATATCTAGCCTCACTGGGAGCCTGCCTTTGGGTCATGAGGGCAGGGGCCAGGCATCTCCTGTGGTGCATTCTTGGCAGCCAAGGAGCAAAGCACGCGGCCCTGGCTAGCTGTGGTGTGGCCGGGAAGCCGTGCTAAAGGTGCGTGCCCGCACTAAAGATGCGGGACCCACACTAAATGTACTGCAGCTGCCCGCACCTAAAGTGAACTAAATGTGGCGCTAAATTGGAGATAAAACACACTAAATATGTGCTAAATATGTGCTAAATTTGCACTAAATTTGCACTAAATTTGCGTTAAAGTCGCACTATATACGCACTCGAACACGCACTAAATAGCGCACTAAACTATCACTAAAGTTCATTCACACGCACTAAATGTAGACCCAGGCGCCCTCCGCTACCCAACGCGGCCAAAGGATATCCACCTCGAGAACCTCGAGAACCTACTCCGACTGGAGAGGCGGCCGCTCGGCCGTCGGCCCGACTCGGCAGCCGGCGACGCGGTGTCGAGCCGCGTCCGGCACGGCGGCTTTCAGTGATCACTGGTGCCTCAGTTCACTTCCCACTGATCTCCAGACATGGCTACCGCGCCAAATATGGCTGTCCTCGCCGCCGCCGCCGCGGCTCCTGCTGTCGTCCGGCGCGTGTTCGACCCTTCCGGCGCCAAGCGGCTCGAAATCTCACTCTCGCTCGCCTCGCGACCCACGCGAACGCTCTCTCGCCCGGGCTTGTGGGCCGAGGCGGGGTCTTTGCAACCAGCTCGATGTTCCTACACACTCACACGCGCCTGCCTGTCCCATAGCTGACGAGGCCGTCCGCCGCGGCCTGGCTCGCATCGCCGGCGTGAAGGGTGGCGGCGACGGAGCGCTCGCGGCGGCGGTGGCTCTGCTTCGGCAGGAGGACGGCTCGGATATCTGCCTCGACGCTCCTGCGGAGGAGGCGTGGTCGTCGGCGGGTCGGTTGCGGGTTGGCGGCGAGACGGTCGAGGTGCTGTACGACCCTCCCGAGGTCGTCGAGCTGGCCTCGCCCGCTTTCCCTCTGGTCGGCGTGCCTCTCGCGCCGCTCTGCCGCACCCGCCGCTGCGAGGCGGGCGAGGTGCAGCTGCGGTGGGAGGCGGCCAGCTCCGCGCCAGCAGAGGCGCCACGCCTCGGGTAGCCGCGAGCACAGCCTCGCTGGCCCTTCTCGGACCCGCCTCTGCCCCTCCCTCTCCAGGCTGGGCCCGCCTCGCAGTGGCGGCCGGTCGGCTCCGGCCCTTCCTTCGCCCCGCCGGCAGGGCTGGCTGGCCACAACTTGCGCGTCGTCGCTACCCCGCCGCCGCTGCCCGGCCGCTCGCCGCTCGAGACGAGCCGAGAGCTGGGCAGCCGAGCCGGAAGCTGCTGGTAGGAGGGGGGGGGGCGGCCCTTTTCACACCTCTCGCAGTGAACAGGTAGCGTGGTGGAGCCTCCGCCGCGGCCTCTGCTCGAGGCGCGGCTGCGCTCGCTCGGCGGCGGCGCAGAGGGCGGCGGTGGGGAGGGCGGCGGTGGGGAGGGCGGCGACCGGCTGCGGGTGATGAGCTACAACTGCCTCGCCGACACGCACACCTCCGCTCGTGGGAGAGTGTGTTGAGTGTGAAGAGCGTCTTCACGCCTGCAGCCGTGAACAGGTACCGCCGCTCGTGGGACGAGCCCGGCTCGGTCCACTCCTACTTTCCGCCCCCGCCGGATGGAGTCGAGAGGTGATCAAATCGAGTGTTGATCAGGTCCACTCCTACTGCGACCCCTCCCTCACCGCTGGCGGACTGCGGCTGCCTCGCATCCTGAGCGAGGTGCTCCTCCCCCTCCCTCTCTCCCCCTCCGGCGCCCAGCTGTGCGGTCCTCCGCCAAGCTCCTCCAGCCAAGCCACAACCAGCCACGACTGTCACGCTCCGTGCTCGCCGCCTCGCCGGACGTGGCCAGCCCTTCTTCACACGTCTAGCTGTGGACAGGTGCTCGCCGCCTCGCCGGACGTGGCGGCGCTGCAGGAGGTGGACGTGTCGTGGGCGCGCCGCTTTTGGGAGCCGACGCTGGCGGCGGCGGGCTACGCGATGGCTTTCGCGCCAAAGGCGAGCTCTACAGAGGGGATAACACACACCGAGTGGCCACCACACCAGGGAAAGCTCAAAGGAGAGCTCTGCACACGCTGCGAGGACGCGGTCGCCTCCCATCCAAGGGCTAGCGCCGCATCGGGAGCCTGTCTGTCTCCCCCCCTCTCTCAAGCTCGAGGCGTGCTCCCCCCCCCCCCTCCGGGCCACCGCAGGCGAGCGCCTCTTCGAACGAGGGCCTCACCGTGGCGTGGCGCACCTCGCCCCCCTCCCCAGCTGGAGCGTGACGGGGCTGCGGCGAGGCATGGCCGTTTCGGGGTAGGCGCACCAGCGCCTTCGAGCTCGTCCGTGCCCGCGTCTGCCGGCTGGACTTGCGCGAGCCTCCTCCGCCCCTCGCCGAGTACCTCTCGCGCAGAGAGGGCACGGCCGCGGCGGTGCGACTGTCTCCGCGGCGCGGCTACGATCCGCGTCTCTCTCTGTCTCTCTCTCCACGGCTCGAGGTGCGAGCAGGTGCGGAGCTTGCCGAGTGTGGCGCAGCTGATCGTGCTGCGGCAGAGGGGCGGGGCGAGGCGGCTGATCGTTGCGAACACGCATCTCTACTTTGCGAACCCCGCGGCGCGCGGCTTGAGGTGGGGTGGACGGGACCTGCACCTGTACTCGTCCGTGCGAGGCGAGGGTGTCTGGTCTCTAGGTGCACGTGAGGCTAATGCAGTCGGCCGCGCTGGTGGCGGAGGTGGAGGCGGAGGTGGAGGCGGAGGCGGAGGCGGAGGCGGAGGCGGAGGCGGAGGCGGAGGCGGAGGCGGAGGCGGAGGCGGGAGGAGAGGTCGGCGTGGTCGTCATGGGAGACCTCAACTCGGACGCCTCGGACGGCGTGCTCGACTTGCTGCTGCGGGGCCGTGTCGCCGCCTCGCACCGTGACTGGCGGGTCGGCGAGCTGCACTGGGGACCCTCGCTCGGCCTCGAGGCGCAGCCCTCCCCACCCCCACCCCACCCCCTCCCCCACCCCCCCCACACACAGCTCCTCTCGCACCGCCCCTGCCTTGACGGCCCCTTCCCCCGCGGCAGGCGGACGCGGCGGCGGCGGCGCGGCGACTCGTCGA